GCAAAAACAAATAAGATACAACAAATTAGCTTCTAACGCAAAAACAAAACCAACAAAAGTGATAATCCGAACAAAAACTGATTGAGAATTGATGATTTTGTTTTTCTTTTTTTTTCCTTGTGATAAAAGGTTTTCTATTAAAATGCATAATGAAATTTACAAGCTAAGCCTTTTAAAGGTCATGCAGTTTTTGTTTTTTTGGGTCTTTTTTATGTAAAAAGGTCATACAGTTTGATAAAGAAGATTAAGCTAAGGAAGATATGATGGAGAGAATCAAAGTTGATTCCTAGATTTACTCCTTTTACAATCAAACTTGGCCCAAGTTCCATTCGTTCTGGTTCAAGTACGATGGGAATGGCGTGGCCGTGATATTGAGTGAGGGTATGGGTGTATTCTGGAGGTTTTTGAGGGCAAAATGGAAACAATTGGAGATCAATCAGCGAGGTAGAAGAAAGAAATGGGATTCTCTGGGCTGTGGATCGGTCAACACTTTTTGGTGGAGTGTTTAAGATATTAAATGCGTGTTAATACAATTTAATTTGTACATGATATATACAATTTCTCAATTTGTGCAGTTACGCGTATTAGTTCCTTTTATCCAAGCAATACATAGAAGTGTTTAAATCATAATCAAAGGACTCTTCATTTTACTGCATTCCATTTTTGTTTTTCGGGTATATTCTGACAGAAAGTTTAAAAACTTTAAAACTCTATAACAGATTGAACAATGTGCACCAACAGAAACTTATATGGTTCCACCATTGAAACAGTAGAGAGATAAAACAAAGACCACCTTGCTCGTACTCTTTATAGAATATTCCAGTTTGTTGATAATGCCTCACAGATCCTTGAGATACAGTAGGCTGCACTCAGAGGATACCCTGAAACTGAAGAAATCAAGAAAACCAGAAACCGTTATAAGTTTCCATCATTAAAAAACCACTTTTATAACGAAGCATGAGTGAAGGGAGAAGACTTACTGGCCACGAAATCTTCAATATAGTCACAATCTATTTTCCCGTGTGCCATCGCACCGAGCTGAAATAATAAAGCAAAACAAGGCACAGGCTTGCATTAAGCTAAATCCTATCAATAAGCAAATGAATTTGGTGGAATTCGTGCAGAAGCGAGAGTGAAATATTTGGAGCTCACTAACCACAAAAACAGTATCTGAATCATTACAGACGGTAGCCAGGTGCTTCTGCATATTGACGAGCTTTTCCGAGCTATGCGAGAATCCTGATAAATAAAAAAGAATCAGTTCCTTAATGCGGGATATATAGCAAATCTAGGAGAAACTAGAGGCTTTCTTAACCTATTTTCATTGAGTTAGCCGGTAGATACAATGTAACAGGGTTCTTGATCACCCGTAAGAGTTTCTCACGCCTGCCAACTGCAGTGATGCTAAGCTTTTGTAGCAATTGCACTGCAAGACCAACAACATTGAATAAGAAACCAAGGAAGTTAAAAGTAACGAAACATCCCCGGGGGATGAGAGGAGAGAACTCGAGAACTCACAAATGATTCCAGCGAATCGCTTGTATGTTCTTGGTATACGAACGTGAGGCTTAACTTCAAAAAGAACACCTTGTTCTGTTCTAACGTAAACCGCTTTCAACCTTCCAGCCTTATTAACCGGACTATCCAAAATCATTAGAAGAGCCTGAAGAGGAAAAAGATCACTCAAGATGAGTCACAATTTGTTACAAAATATGACTCTTAAGTTATAAAATCCTGACCTGGTGAGTGATGTCTGGTCTGTAATCAGCAGGATTTCTGTTATTTTTTTTCAAGAAATTGGCATGGTCATCAGAGTTTAGTAGCTGGTAAGTCTGCACACGAGAACAACATATATACATTAGCACAAAAACTAATTAGGTCCGAGAACGAATCCATGGAGCTTTGTGTAATACAAACATTCCTGCAAATTACCTTTCCAACTTTGGCAACTTCAAGAGAGGCCTTCTCAAGGACGAAAATAACACCGGGCTTTTCCTTCTTATTATCGGAAAGGACAATAGGTATTCCCACATCAAGATCATCTGCTGCTTCCTCACTTGTTTCTTTCTCTTCATTATCTTCATTATCTTCCTCTGCTTTTGAGGTGCTTTCTCTCTTTGCCTTCTTCACACTTTTTTCTGGCTTTTGTTTTTTCTCGAGCTTGGGTTGTTCTTCTTCTTCATCCTCTTCCTTATCGTACCTCTCTTGTCTCTCCTTTCTCTTGTTCACTTTAATCCCATACGGTCTAACCATCTTGCTTTCCAAAATTTATGCTGATTCAATACAAATTAAGCAAATCACAGGACCGCCGAGCAAAAAATCAGATGCTAAAGGAGTAAACTTTTTATCAGGAACCATATACATAAACAGGAATATAATCAAATTAGCTTCAAAAATACAGCGAATCAATGCAAACAATCACAGTCCCGTATAGCTTGAATTCGGAGTTAAACGCGAAAATACCGAACATTTTGATGAAGAAACAGCTAAAAATAAGAGAGAGAGGAAGAAACTATCGCTTACTCCGGATACACTTGAGCTTGCAAAGTAAATTCAAGTGAGCAGGCGACTGAATCCGAGCGATTCAATAGATAAACCCTAATTTTAATTTAAGAGGCGAAGGGGTTTTTCCTTTCTTGTTTCAGCCAGACCAGAATATAAAGTTGTTTAAGGCCCATTTAGGTTTTAGGGTTTTAAAAGGCCCAATAAAGAAAAGAAAAAAAACGAACAGAAACCTAAAATTATGGTCGTCGTCGAATTTCGTTCTACCGGAGCACGACCGCCTTTACTTGTATTAACAAGTGGTGGTTCCTGCCAAATTTTTTTTTTTTTTTTTAAATTCCTTTCAATATTGAGTTTCTCTGCAACTAGCCGTCGAAGGGAGGAAACGAAGTGGAGAAGATTGTTGTTGCCGTTTTTAACCTAGTTTGAAGATGACGTCTTATGGAGATAGACTGAAGTCGACCTCCATTAATGGAGTTAAGCTATACCATGTTTCATCTGCCCCAAATGTTGCGACTTGGCTCAATGCTAAGAAGCAACGAGCTCTCCGTAAAAACCCCCGTAAGTATTTGCTCCGAATCGTTAAATCTCTGCTCAAAGACTCCTTTTTTCTTTTGTTCTCTGGGATGTGAGTGTAGCTTTAGGTTTGCTCGTGGGAATTAGATTCTTCACTTAATTGCTGCTTAATGATATGTTTGAAAAAAAAAACTCTCAAATTCAATAGTTTGATTCCTTTTTGTTGTTGAACTAATTACACTGGCTTGTTCTTTGGCTATTTTCTGTTAAGATTATATGCAAAGAGTGGAGCTGATTCAGGATTTGAAGTTTGAGACTGCCACTACAAAAATCAAAGCGACTCCAGACGGAGAGTTTCTGATTGCTTCAGGTGCGTCTTCAACTATTTTTCCTTGGTGAAATTCGTAATCTGGATGCTATTAATAAGAGAAAAAATGGCTTCTCGTGTATCTTTCCACTGATTTGTTGTTGAATTAGGCATATATCCACCACAGGTCAAAGTTTATGAGCTAAGGCAGCTTGCTTTGAAGTTTGAGAGGCATTTGGACTCGGAGATAGTTGATTTTGAGGTAAACTATACTTCTCCATGAGTTGTTTCTCTAAATCTTTCTTGATTCTCGGTCAATATTGTGTTTGTTGCCTCTACAGATATTGGATGATGACTACTCAAAGCTTGCCTTTTTATGTGCTGATCGTTCTATTAATCTACACGCCAAATACGGGAAACACCACAGTTTACGGATTCCAAGGTAAGTTTGCGTTGTTGGTATATTGAGATATAGTTTGTGATTTTGTTTTTGCTGAGACATTAATCTGATAGAAAACGTCTATTTGCAGGATGGGGAGAGACATGACATATGATTCCTGGTCTTGTGATCTGCTTTGCGCTGCATCTTCACCAGATCTATACAGAATCAATTTGGAGCAGGTATATTGTGATGAATTATTATAGTATGGTCTTGTGACTTACCTCAGTCTTTGTTGGAGAATGATTTGTGAACTTTTCCTTCTTTCTATAGGGAAGATTTCTCGCTCCTCTCAGCACTCAATCCCCAGCCCTTAATGTTGTCTCTCGAAGGTCTGTATACCCATCTCATTTCGTTAATTAATTTTCTTGATTTGATTTAGGAGAAGATTCGATTGTGGTGCTCAAAATTGTTGTTCACGTTTGGGCAATATTTTTCTTTTCCAGTAACCTCCATGGATTAGTCGCTTGTGGTGGTGAGGATGGTGCTGTGGAATGTTTTGATATGAGAATGAAATCCTCTGCTGCTAGAATTAACGCGGTTACACATGGTGGCGATGCTCCTGCGGTATTTCTTCTCAACTTATGTTCCATTTACACAGACTTTCGTAGCTGAAACGTGATTTAGCGAAAATTGTAACAAACATTCTGATAATGTTGTGATTTTTCTTTGGCTATCAGGAGGTTACTGCTATAGAGTTTGATGACACTGAAGGTCTTCAAGTAGCTGTCGGTAGTAGTGCGGGAAAGGTTAGATTCTATATTTCACTTTTTGATCTGTAAGGTTTTAGAAACCAGTATGTCATCTGGCTATATAGGTATGTTTTGTTGATTGTGCTGTTACAATATCTGACAGGTATTCATATACGACTTGCGTACTTCAGCTCCCATACGAGTGAAGGATCACATGTAAGTAGTACTTTCTCAAAACTCATCCTATATGTATAACTTTACGGTTTGTTTCCTTGTTGTTCATTGTCTTCTTCAAAATTTTCAGGTATGAGAGCCCAATTTTGAGTATTAAGTGGCAACGGACTCTTAATACTCAACAACCTAAGTTGATTACTACTGACAAGCACATTGTTAGAGTATGGGATCCGAATACGGTAGGCTTCCACTAAGATTAGGTGTACATCTCGGTTTCTTGAACTCACAAATTTTGGTTAAATACAGCTTTGATAGCCTCCTTCCTTTTTTTTTCCAGGGAGAAGGTATGACCAGCATCGAACCGACTGGAGGAGGAATAAACGATATTTGTGTGTTCCGTGAAAGTGGACTTATGCTTCTGGCTTTAGACTCTAGCCTAATCCCATCTTACTTCATACCTGAACTTGGTCCTGCCCCCAAATGGTGTTCTCCTCTTGAAAATCTAACGGTAATTATCTGATTCGAAGAGTTTCCCAATCTTTTCATCATTCCAGTGGTGTAACCGTTCTTTTTTAAATCTTTGTTCTCAGGAAGAGATGGAGGAAACTGGGCAGACAACTATTTACGATAATTACAAATTCGTGACGAAGGCAGATCTGGAGAAATTGCAACTGACTCATTTGATTGGCACAGATCTCTTAAAAGCTCAAATGCATGGATATTTTATTAATCACCAACTGTACAAAAAGGTGAGGCCCTGACATATTTATACACTTGTAACTTCAGAGTAGTCTCTAAGATGTTTCTTCCTTATTACTTCTTTCTTTGTCTTTACAGGCCTTGGCAGTGGCTGAACCTTTTGCATATGATAATTACTTAGAACGCAAGAAGCAAGAGAAACTTGAAGCAGAACGTAGCCAGAGAATCACAGTTAGTATTTTTAACCTAAGCAGCATCTGCAGATTCACCATTTTTTGTACGTTGGTTACTTACACATCCTGTGTGCCTTGTGCTTTTTGCAGAAGAAGAAAAGGTTGCCAAAGGTTAATCGTGATCTCGCTCTCACCATCCACAACGAGGAAGATGGAGAAGAGGAAAAGAAAAGTGTCGAGGATGAAGAAGCCACGAAGAAAGTGTCGAAGAAGAAGAAACCCGGACTTAGTGGCGAGAATTTCGAAGATGGACGGTTTACAGCGATGTTCCAGAATCCGGTATTAAGAAATAATCTTTTCGAGGCTTTTGTTGCTCTGTTTCATATCGCATTAAACCGATTCTTTGGAATCTCTTTGTGGTTTTCAGGACTACCAAATCGATCAGGACTCTTATGAATATGGTGTCCTGCACCCTATTGCTTCTTCTAAGAAGCAACCTTCTCTGCTAGAAGAACACTTTGAAGCTGTAACAGATGACGACGAGAACAGCGATTCTGATGCATCACAAGCTACCGATGACGAAGCCGATGATGAGAACACAAGGCCAAGCAAGAAATCGAAAACTCCAAAGTTAGTGCCATTTGAGTACATTCCAGGATTTTTAGACATCACACTATATCTTTCTTGTTCTTTCCTGATGTGGAAGATTTGGTGTCAGGTTGTTTGAAGTGAAAAACGAGCGGCATGCAGAAGCTTTCTACAACCGCACATCACTGGCTAAAGAAGACAGTCTTCCAATGGAGGAGCGTGTTAAGGCTATAGAGAACCGACGTGGCAACTTTGGAGCCTCGAAAGATGTTAAATTCGGTCCTGGAGGATCCCGGGAGATTTCTTTCAACGCGAGACGCTCATCCAAATACAATGAAGACAGAGAAGATAGAGACGATGAAGATGGAGACGGCCAACGAAACAGGAGGAGAGGAATTCAGTCTCTTGGACTGAAAGCGGATGTTGTTAGAGGCGGTTTCAGAGGTAGAGGAGGTGGCGGTTTTAGAGGGAGAGGAGGTGGCCGTTCCCGGGGAAGAGGAGGTGGTGGTCGTGGTGGAGGTTCCAGAGGAAGAGGTGGCCGCGGTGGTGGCCGTGGTGGCGGAGGAAGAGGCGGGCGATGATACATGTAGCTCTCAGAAGATTTTATATTACTTTTTGAAAATGCTTTACTATTTAAGAAGAATCTTTGAGACTTCATTGATTCACATTCACAATTTTGGAATATTTTTTTGACCTGTTCTTAAAATGTATTAAGTCTGATGTCCGAATCAGAACAACATTATTTTGATTCCTTGGGCTTAAAGGTAATGATTGGATAGAGATGACCTAAGGTTGAACCTAGATCGATAGTGCCTTTACATGATAGATCAACGGCCGTTGTTATTTTGAATAAAAATAGCGAGTCTAACATTTCATTAATTTATTAATCAAATGAGATGCTTTTTTTTTTTGGGTCAACAAATAAAAAAAAAATGCTTATGTATAGGCTTACAACATGAGAATTGCTTATGTATAGGCTTACAACATAACTGTTTGGGACGAGGAAGACGCCCCGAAGCTTCTTCCACATGTGTTCCACCAGCCTTCAACAATTTCTTTAGGCTGAGTCATCTTTCAATATGTGAATTTTAATCTTTATTATAGTTAAGTGTATTTTTAATGCATGTATGCACTCTTATTTTAATTGTTATCTAATTAGTCTACTGATGACTGGACCTAGCTCACGCGTGGAACATAGACTTTGGCATGTGTCGACCTACGTCCTCAGATCCAAATATTTCTCTTTATAGTATGTCTTTTTAACACTTATAATATAGTTGGTAAATTCTATTAAACAAAGAGAGATTTATTTGTTTACTTTATCTTATAATCCGCATATAAATATATAATTCGCTGGACAATAATATTCCCACCTATAGTTAAAGACGATCCCAATCAGAACAGCTTCAAGAGAAAACAGAATCTAAAAACTTGTCTTTTAATCAAGCAAAAATGTGTGCATTAGTCCCTCCAATGTTCCCAAACTTTGGGTGGCCAACGACCGGAGAGTACGAGAGCTACTACCTTGCCGGAGAGAATCTAAACAACGGGACGTTTCTTGATTTTCCGGTACCGGAGACTTATGGAGTTGCTCATCATGATCAGGACAGCTTAAGAGCATCTGTTTCTTCGGAGGGAAATGAAATAGACAACAATCCGGTCGTGATCAAAAAGCTAAACCACAATGCTAGTGAGCGTGACCGTCGCAAGAAGATTAATTCCATGTTCTCATCTCTCCGTTCATGTCTTCCAGCCTCCGATCAATCGGTAAGTAGCTACTCTGATATATGTCATCCGAATCTGTTTCATCTCAAAACCAATTAGCAATGACTAATTACTCTGACTTATTCGATTGTGTCCATTAGATTGTTTTGACGTGTGATTTCTAGTAAGCTTGTCTATGCACCAATACCATCTCGAAGAAGAACACCGAGTCAATCTTTGTTTCTTAATTTATTTTTCTTTACTTTCTTGCAGAAGAAGCTAAGTATTCCTCAGACGGTTTCACGGAGCTTGAAGTACATTCCAGAGCTGCAAGAGGAAGTGAAGAAGCTCATACAAAAGAAGGAAGAACTCTTGGTGCGAGTATCGGGTCAAAGAGACATTGAACATAACGTTAAGCCGCAACCAAAGGCGGTCGCGCGTTATGTCTCGACCGTTTCTGCGACTAGGCTCGGAGACAATGAAGTGATGGTGCAAATCTCCTCATCCAAGATTCATAATTTTTCGATATCTAATGTGTTAAGTGGTTTAGAAGAAGATGGGTTTGTTCTTGTGGGTGTTTCATCTTCAAGGTCTCATGGAGAAAGGCTTTTCTACACTTTGCATCTTCGAGTGGACGAGATTGATAATCACAAGCTTAATTGCGCAGAATTAAGTCAGAGGATGTTGTACTTGTATGAGGAATGCGGAAACTCGTTTAGATGATAATTTGTTCTTGTTTCTTTTAGTTAACTTGTCATTTTCTCTTAAAAATCTAACATTCTTGACCAAAGCGTTGTACTCGAATTGTTTCAGTTTTTTGGTGGAAGGCAATGATCGATTACTACATGCTATTGACTGTTTAGTACGTAATTCAAATTACAGCTATAATTAAATTTTCTTTTATTTTGTCATACACCTCGATACAACATTACCGGTTACAAATACAAATATATTTTTGATGGCAAAACCTTTGGTTAAGGGAATTAGGTCTCTTGCTATCTAATATTTAGTTGTATTTTAGTATGTTTATGATAAAAATATATCTAGAAAACATTTATAGTTAAACAAAAGAGATATAATGGAGGACTACTTTTATGCTTTGCAACAAAGGGACTTTAAGAAAACTATATATTTTGCAATAAAACATACCAATAAGTATTTCCACAGAGTTTCCAGAGTATTTCCACTCACTTCAAACAAAATTTCACCAGATAACCGTTTTGTAATGTGTAGAAGTTTCAATATCTTTTGAAAATCCGCTTCATTCAACATAAGCACTAAAGTTTATGAAGTCTGTTTCATAAAGAATCTTGTTTTGAAATAGACAGCATATTGGAAAATTCATAAAAAAAATTGTGAAGAGAAACGTTTTAGCGTATTTTCAGAAACATGTTGTCGTGCTTCAAAATAGACGATATAGATTTCATGAATTTTCTGAAGGATTTGGTACTTTCTGAAAATATAGATTTCAGAAACATTTTCAGAAACTAATCTTTTTGTATTTTTCACTTATCCAATTTTATAAGTTAGAAAACAATATTTGGATTTGGTCTATTTTAGTTTCGAAAAAAGTGTATTTGATTTAGAGATTGTTATATTTGGCTTGGTTATAAATATATGAGATGAAATCAGAATATGGATTTACTGATTTACAATATAATCTTTCAGAGATTATCATAATAGTTTGGGAATGTGGGACACAGCAGGAATCTTTGAAACCATCACTGATTCACATTTACAATGTTGGAATATTTTTGACTCGTTCTTCAAAGAATAACTATATAGAACATAGTTAAGTTTAGACACAGATATATGGCATCAAGTTGACCTTAGTATTATAATGGCTTTTTTATTAAATAATGAGGCTGCATTTCTCTAAGATAAAAAAATATTAAAATTGAAAATGCTTATGTATAGGCTTACACCATGAAAATGCTTATGTATAGGCTGACCACATCCATATATTTGGGAGGAGGAAGACGCCCAATGCATCTTCCACCTGATTTCCACGTGCCTACAACAATTTCAACAAGCTGAGTCATCTTTCAATATGTAAATTATAATTTTTAGTGTAGATTTAATACATGAATTATTCGACTTCAATTCTTATACAATATCTTCAATAGTGACTGGACCTAGTTCATGCGTGGAACATAGGCTCTGGCACGTGTCCAACCTATGCCCTATAGAGACCTACATATTTCTCTTTATAGTATACTTTTGTCATATAACACATAATTATATAGTCTCAACGAATAAAATTACACCTATTATATAGTTTGTTGATCAATATTTAAACAACAGGATATATTTCTTAAATCCTTTATGCGCTATATAATAGGGAGACAACAATATTCCAACCAAAATAGCTTCAGGAGAAAACAGATTTTTTTTGCACAAACAAAAAAAAAAACAAGAAGAGAAAACAGAATCCATAAACTTGTCAAACTTTTTTAAAAAAAAACATGTGTGCATTAGTCCCTCCATTGTTCCCAAACTTCGGTTGGCCATTGACGGGAGAGTACGAGAGCTACTACCTTGCCGGAGAGAACCTAAACAACGGGACGTTTCTTGATTTTCCGGTATCGGAGACTTATGGAGTGGCTCATTATCAGGACAGCTTAAGAGCATCTGTTTCTTCAGAGGGAAATGAAATAGACAACAATCCGGTCGTGATCAAAAAGCTAAACCACAATGCTAGTGAGCGTGACCGTCGCAAGAAGATTAATTCCATGTTCTCATCTCTCCGTTCATGTCTTCCAGCCTCCGATCAATCGGTAAGTAGCTACTCTGATACTTGTCATCTCTATCTGCTTCATCTCCAAACCAATTAGTAGTAATTAGTCCAAAACCAACTAGCAGTAATTAGTCTAACTCATTCGATTAGCTCCATTTGATTAATTTGACGTGGGATATCTAACGCTTGTCTATGCATCTATACTATTTAGAAGAATAATATTGAATTAACCCATCTTTCTTTACTTTTTGCAGAAGAAGTTAAGTATTCCTCAGACGGTTTCGCGGAGCTTGAGGTACATACCGGAGCTGCAAGAGCAAGTGAAGAAGCTAATACAGAAGAAAGAAGAACTGTTGGTGCGAGTATCGGGTCAAAGTGACACTGAACAGTACAATAAGCGGCAACCAAAGGCGGTCGCGCGTTATGTCTCTACCGTTTCCACGACTAGGCTTGGAGACAACGAAGTGATGGTCCAAATCTCATCGTCCAAGATTCATAATTTTTCGATATCTAATGTGTTAAGCGGTTTAGAAGAAGATGGGTTAGTTCTTGTGGATGTTTCATCTTCAAGGTCTCATTGCGAAAGGCTTTTCTACACTTTACATCTTCGAGTGGACAAGATTGATAATTATAAGCTGAACTGCGAAGATTTAAGTCAGAGGATTTTGTACTTGTATGAGGAATGTGGAAACTCGTTTAGATGATAAATTGTTCTTGTTTCTTTTAATTATGTCGTCCTTTTCTCTTAAAAATCTAACATTCTTGACCGAAGCGTTGTACTCGAATTGTTTTAGTTTTTTGGTGGAAGTCAATGATCGATTACTACATGCTATTGACTGTTTACTATGTAATTCATAATAACTACACCTAGAAATTTTATTTTATTTTGTCTACACTTCGATTTCCATCATTATCGCCCGGTTACTAGCTAATATATAAATAGTTTTTTTTTGGGTGGCAAAACCTTTTGCTATTCTTTAATTATTTATATTTTCTTATTTATTTACAATTAGTTTGTTGTGTTTTGGTGTATCCATAAAACTAGAAAAGACAAAAAGAGGTTACTTCGTTACAACTACGTACGAATATCATTAATTGTGGGCAACACTATATTAAACGGGTTCTTAATTTACTTGGTCTCTAATTGTGCTAGTGAGTAAGTTGCCCTTGTTAATTAATAAGAATACATGATAAATGAGAAGCCATGGTTATCAGTTGATCTTGGAGTCATCTGGTAAGTAGAATGATGACGTGACACCAAAAAAATGTCGGGGCAAGAAGGCTATACAATTAGGGAGTTTTTTTCTCCTTCTAAATCTGTTGTATTCACCTTCTTTAACACTCTAAAAGAAGGTGTGAATACAACAGATTAAGAGAAAAAAGAAATCTCTTAAGGTTTCTTCTTTGGTGCCTTAGAGTTTTGGTTTTGCTTTTGAAAGAAAGAATTCTTTGGATTGGGTCTATTTTTGGTTTAAGTAAAAAAAAAATGAAATGTTGGTTTAGAGATTGATTTCTTTTGCTTTGTCAAAACATATTTGAGATCAACGAAGAATATGATTTTACAGGATGTAACTGTAGCTTTCAAAGTCTAAAATTAGTTTGGAAATGTGGGTCACAATACGAATCTATGAAAGCTCACTGATTCACATTTACAAGTTTGGAATATTTTGACCAGTTCTTATCAGTATAACTAAAGTATAAAACTAAATGAATTAGAACATAATTTATTCGAGACATAGATGGCATCAAGTTGACCTAAATATTATAATGGCTTTGTTAGTTTGTTGTATTAAATAAAGGCTGCATTTATTTAAGATTAAGATATTAAAATTTCAAAATGCTTATGTATAGGCTTACACCATGAATATGCTTATGTATAGGCTTACAACATCGAAATATTTGGGACGAGGAAGACGCCCAAAGCATCTTCCACCTGATTTCCACGAGCCTCCAACAATTTCTTCAAGCTAAGTCATCTTTCAATATGTTAACAATAATATTATTATAGTTTTAGTACATGTAAAATTCGTTTTTTAATTCTTATACAATATCTCCAATGGTGACTGGACCTACTTTATGCGTGGAATATAAGCTCTGACTCGTGTCATCCTATGTCCTCAATAAAGACTTAAAATATTTCTTTTTATAGTATTATAAGTCGTATAACACAAACTATATAACATATATTATATAGTTTGTTGATCAATATACTTTAACAACATAGATTATCCTTTATCCATATATATAACGGGAGACAACAATATTCCAACCGAAACAGCTTCAAGACAAAATTAGCAAGAAAACAAAATCTATAACTTATCCTTATAATTAAGCAAAAATGTGTGCATTAGTCCCTCCATTGTTCCCAAACTTCGGGTGGCCGTCGACGGGAGAGTACGAAGGCTACTACGTCCCTGGAGAGAACCTCAAAAGCGACACGTTTCTTGATTTTCCGGTACCAGAGACTTATGGAGTTGCGGCTCATCAGAACAGTTTGGGCGTCTCTGTTTCGTCGGAAGGAAATGGAATAGACAACAATCACGTCGTGATCAAGAAGCTTAATCACAATGCAAGTGAGCGTGACCGTCGCAAGAAGATCAACTCTTTGTTCTCATCTCTTCGTTCATGTCTTCCAGTCTCAGATCATTCGGTAAGTAGCCACTATGATATGTCCGTTTTATTTTGAAACTTCTAAACGAATATGTTGGGAACCCCACGTATGAAATGAAGACCTAAGTAAAATAAAAGATACGGACACACCAATTAGTTTTAAGTTGAAAATCCATGTTAAGTTATATATGCTTGTCTTTGCATCTACACCACTTAGAAGAAGAACGCTGAGAACCCTTTTTCTTTACTTTCTTGCAGAAGAAGCTAAGTATCCCTGCGACTGTTTCGCGGAGCTTAAAGTACATACCAGAGTTGCAAGAGGAAGTGAAGAAGCTAATAGAAAAGAAGGAAGAACTCTTGATTCAAGTAACGGGTCAAAGAGACATTGACCATTATGATAAGCCGCAACCTAAGGCGGCCGCGAGTTATCTATCAACCGTTTCTGCGACTAGGCTTGGAGAAAATGAAGTGATGGTCCAAATCTCATCGTCCAAGGTTCATAACTTTTCGATATCTAATGTATTGCGTGGTTTAGAAGAAGATGGTTTTGTTCTTGTTGATGTTTCATCCTCAAGGTCTCATGGAGAGAGATTATTCTACACTTTGCATCTTCAAGTGGAAATTATGGATGCTTATTACAAAATGAATTGCGAAGAGTTAAGTGAAAGGATGTTGTACTTGTACGAGAAATGTGAAAACTCGTTGTTTAGGTAATTAATTTATATGTTGTGTTTATCCATTTATATGTCCTTTTTTCTTTTAAGTCTTAACATTATTAACCAAATCATGTAATGTATAGTTGAGTTGTTTGGGTTTCTTGATTATATGGTCAAAGATTGATTACTATGCGTCTTCAAGCTGCAGACTTGATTGATCAACCATGAGTTCCCTTCTAATTAAATCAATAGATTTCATCGTATCAGGTCCTACATCGCCTTCTTGGACTCTTGAATCATCCATTTGCAACAAATCCAAACTACGTTTAAGCGCGTGCACTAACCAAACCTTTACGTTTCAAGCATAATCTCAATCAAGAACAAGTCTAGCGACTTACATAATTTTCAACGCGGTTTTGGTAACATGTTCGAGTTCACACATTCAATACGTAACATCTAATTTCTTGTTTATAGGAATCATATAGTTTATCTCTTCTTATATTTTGATGTTTTCTTTGATCCGCAATTAGTCATGACCTCTCGGTTTTTTTTTATCGTTGTTGTCTTGAAAAGAAAATCCCCAATAGAAGAAGTCATTAATATTCGTGAACAAAACAATAGAACAGAAAAAAACAAAATATTCACTGCTATAGATGTCGACTGTTGTTACATAGTTTATTATAAAATCAGAACGATTTTTAAGTTAGAAAGAAAAAAAAGTAGTGGCTGCAAGGCACTATAGAGCCCTTTGCCGAAATGTGAGTATATATATATACCTAAACCCTTTTGTCTTGGGCCGCAAGAAAGCCTGAGAAGGGCAGAAACAGAGGAGACTTGTTTCAATTGTCCTCAGTGAAGACCTTGAATATGAAATCACGGAAACGTCTCGAGTAAAGCCTCGGATCAACGGCTGAGATTGAAGTAGGATCGTACTGAATGCTCTTGTAAGCATGTTCAAGCTTCTTGCTGATGTCGTAGTCTTGAAGAATGTCTATGATTCCAAAGATCATGACAACCTCGTAGTACTCTCCTGTTGGTTCCCCAACTAGCTGGAACTCACACTCACTTCTTCTCATTGTCCTCTCTGCTCGAGCCGGCATGTTTCCTCCAAGTCTGATACTAGCCCATCTGCAGAAACAAAACCGATTTAATGAACAGCCAAAATTCAAGAGATTTCTTTCTAAGTATTGAGTGTGTGTATATGTTTACCTTGTGGGATCAGATAGAAGTTGATCCACGTCTGCTCTAGAGAGACGAGGGGCTGATTCGTCTTCAAATTCACCTGCATATGAGAAAGAAACACATTTGGTTGATGCATTCTAATGAAGAGAAATGATATTAGGTTTTTCAGGAGTGCGAACCAATAGGCGTTCGAGCTCCAGAAGGAATCAGCTCTCCAGCGACTGATGCTTCTCTGAAATGAATCCCAACCAGAAGACTGTAATCCATGATTCTCTCCTGTTCTAGAAACTCGCAGTCTTTGTCGACTTGCCTGAATAAAGGGGAAAAATGGTCATAATGAATAACAGTGAATGAGAAATGTCAATGGAAAGAGATATTGATTGATGGTTTTTTTCTAACCTGATGAATTCTTGGTACCAAGCTTTCTGTAATCTGAAAATAAAATTCAGATCAAGATCTTTCAAGATTGTGTTTGAATTGATTTCTGATTCAGGTTTATCAGTTGTACGTCCAAGAGAAGATCCTTTCAAATCAAAACGTCTGTGGATGGAGTACTCAGAACAAAATAAATTTCCCATAATCACAAACCGCACCTGCAGTTTTTTTTGCGGAAAAGAGATGAATACAACAATCAAAATCCAATAATTAGCATTGTTCTCGTCAGTTCTTACCTTCTTTTGGATTGGTCCAGTCAACTTCACACAGTGTAGACCATAGAATCTAATCACCAAAGTGTTCTCAAATGCTCGAACATGGTTGTAATATGCTGCAAGCATCCTTAGAAGTACCTGCATCATAACAATTCCGGAAAGCAGTTAATCTATGTAACTTTTCATCTGATAACTTTAAGGAGAGTAAAAAAAAAATACTCACTTTAGTTTCAGACTTCTTCATTGTCTTTATCATATAACGATCATCGTTTGTCAAGTAGAAAAAGCTTCCACTTTTACCAGGGGATGATAGCTCCCGAAGGGCGTCATTACCGCAGATTGATAACATGTAATCAGCTGGATCTACCTTGAATAGCTTCCTCAAGCTCCTGAAGATAGATCAATTAGCAAAACATATATGGTGTAAGAATAAGAAACTAAGTAAGAATTTATAGTGTTATTGTATCTCACCTAAAAACTAATGGGCAATAGTCTTTCCATTTGAATTCACTAGATTGATGAGGAGGTGTGTATTTGGTTCCTTCTGGTGGAAATCTTGTCCATACCTTCTCCTTTGGATCAAAAGCTGAGTGTTTAAGATCAAGAGACACAACCGGAGCTTGTTTTCCAACAGCATGTCTGCGTAAGCAAAGATCATTCATTAAACATCAAATACAAAGCTTCAAAACTGTGTATAAAAGAGGAGGCAAAAAGCTGAGATATACGTACCTGATTCCAAGCTGAAGATTAAGCATAAGCTCGTAGTTTCGGTGGCCTTTAGATATAGTCTCGCCTTGCTTTCTCCCTGCCCTTGGCAATCTCATAGGCACAGGGGTTGGTCTCAGGCTCTGTATAAAGCCTTCAGCCTCAAGTCTCATCATTTCAGCATCCAAATCCCTCCTTGTGGTGGAATCAATATCAGCAGCTCCTTCACCACTTTCGCTTCCCCACATATTCATCTTCTCAAAAGCTCTATCTACCCCAACACTCACCCTTCCATCAACAGACATCCTCCTCGGCTTCTCTACACGCTTGGAAGAGTTCCAAACAGAGAGCTTCTTCTGTGAAGGCAACACCGGAACCTTCTCTCCACTACATATCTTGTACTCACTTAGATTGTTGAACACGTCTTTAGGTTCCCATTCAAGATTATTCCCTTCGCCTCTCGATGGATAGTAAGTACCGTTCATCTCTTCAGGATCTTCAGACCAATGACCAACGTAGAAACTCCCATCTTCCCATTTGAAAGTCCCGTTTCCGCTAGGGAAACCTTCTTCCCAAAACCCATCGTATCTACTACCATCTGTCCAAACAAAAGTGCCTTTGCCACAGATCATACCACTCTTCCATTCTCCAATGTAATAACTCCCATCTCTCCAACGATATTTTCCATGAGATTCTTGCAAACCCCTTCTCCATTCACCATCATACACATCTCCATTTGCAAAGCTCTTGATCCCATGTCCATGTTTCAGGTTCATCACCCACTGACCTCTATAATTATCTCCACTAGGACCTGTGTAAGTGCCAATACCGTCCATGTATCCGCTTTTGAACTCTCCTTCATAGGTGGCACCAGAAGGCCAACCAAACTTGCCTTTCCCCATAGTCTTCCCGTTATACCACTCACCGATGTACATGCAACCATCTGTCCATAGATACTTGCCGTGTCCGTGGGGGAAACTATCATACCATTGCCCTGTGTAATAGTCTCCGTTAGGAAGTATTCTCTCTGCATGGTATAATTCCCCTATGCTGCTTCTGTTTGTGCTGCTCTCATCGTCATTCTCATCAGTCGTAGTTGTAGTAGTATCATCATCTGTCTGTGGAGCTACCGATACCGTCCCAAAAATGCTGTTTGCACGCTTCTTCGCTTGTTGTGTCTTTCTCACCGTCACCTCCCAAGCTTTTAGAACACAGCTTTGTTCCTTGCTCATTTTGTTCAAGACTTTTTATTTCTAGACAACTATATAGTAGAAAAATCCCTAAAGAAACATAATATTTTCTTGTCTAAAGAACGATCCTATAGATGAACACATACACAAGTGAACAAGATCATGACCTCTGTGCGGAAGAAGACACAATGTAAGCCTAAAACCATTCAATGATCAAAAGCAGCATTAATCAAGATGTCTGCAATGTTTCTTACTTTGTGATCCATTGTCATAGAATCATATGCAAAAAGAGTTTATTTTGTGTTTTAGATTGCAACATTTTCGGAGTGAATGCTGCTCTGAACGATCATCCAAACGTAACAAAGAATCAGAGAGAGAGAGAGAGAGAGAGAAACAAATAATTAATGGCCAAAAGAGTTTAGGGATCAAAACAATATCTCTCGGACAATTCATCTTTTCTTGGCCATTCCTCTTTAACTAATTCTGTCATTCAAAGAACAAACCGTTCATCTCCTCAAACCACTGAAAGCCTTCAAATTTAGAGAAACAAGCAAGACCCATTTCTTTCTATTCTTAGCATTTCCGAGTTTTCCTCTGACAAACATACATATATTCATATGAAAGAAATAAATTGAAAAGTAAATTCAAGTAATAACTGATCGATTTAGCTTACACTGATTGTGGAGCTTAACTATGTATATCTCATTCATAAAGGTACGATACACAGAGTTATTTTACACACCTAAAAATCTAAGTTAGACATTGGGGATCTTGAGACAAAACTAGAAAGGATGATATTAACCGTTTTTAAGTTTTTATATTATAAAAGTACACAACTTTTATAAGGTTTATAAAAATCAGAACATAAATTTCAAGTTAATCCTTAGGCCTCTAAATCTTTATGCAAAATTGGTCTCATGTGGTCTTGTACGGTCATATGGTCAAAGAAAACTTTGCAAGTCTTCCCATGTACAATTCCTTCTTCAGCTTATTCAAAACTTGGACTTTTTCACTGCCGCTGTTAAAAAACTGCAAAAGTTCGAACAAGATAATTCACAGACTGTATATATCTGCCTTTTCATCAATGGTTGGGTGATCAATTTCAGATGGTATGTACAAGTAAGTACTAACTCCCAAACTGTAAATATCTGCCTTTCCATCAATGGTTGGGTGATCAATTTCAGGTGGTACATACAAGTAAGTATTAACTCCACCTTTAGGCACCAAGACTGAACGTCATTGTTCCATGTCTGGAAATTTCAAACTGATAAGATAAAGCCAGGAATAACATGTTGACATCAACTCATAAGTTAAAACAAAGAAATCAACTTCCGTAGGAGAGCACAAGACTATAAAGTACTATCTTGATCACACCTTCGGCATCAAGGAAAATGATATTAAGGGTCAAATCCCGATGAACAATTCTTTTTCTATGTATTTCGGTTAAACTCGTTCTCATCTACTCCATCTACTCCAGCATCAGGATAACAATCCATGTTTCAAACCTATTTCTATGAAAAAATACAATCTTTAATAACAGGTCTATGTTGTTGTTTTTTGTGGAAACTAACTTTCTTCATTCTTAATTGCAAAATTTGTGCAATATCATAAAGCCCTTATAAAACATCTAGTTGAGTAAGGTACCTACCTATATTTTTAGTTTGTTTAACGCAATAATTATTTATTTATCAAACCCAATAATCGTCTTTCTTTCCTTTTTTGTCATCATCAACCCAAATCAAACCCTTTTTCCATTGATTTTTGGCGTTTTTTTGTCAGGATTTCAACGAAACGAAACAACATGTTTATAATTTTAGGCCTTTGACCCAAAACAGTATGTTATTGCGCTTATATGTAAAAGTCCATGGGGCTAAATTTGCTTCAAAAAATTAAAAACCAATTAACGCAGCAAAATTATTTTATCCACAGAAGTAACGTCACATTTTAACTCTCTCTACTTCATTTCAATTGGTTACTAGCCAAGCTTTATCATCGTTTCCAAAATCAAGACTCTTTGACAAAGCCAAAACCTTTACGGTCGGAAGCTGACTCACCATATGCTAAATTCACTAGCCGCTGAGAGCCAATCATAATCTCTGATTCCCTTTAACGGTCCTTAATTCTCCGATTTTACATCCAAAATCATTACTCCAATCATAAAAAAGCTTGCTTTGCGGTTCTTCCTGAGATTTTTTTCTTCTCCTTCCTTCTCATCCTTGGAATCGAAAATGGGTCGACTGGGTATAGTGGTTTCTGATCTGGTATTGTCGTTCATGTGGGTATGGGCAGGAGTTGTGGTCAACATTTTAGTCCACGGTGTTCTCGGATTTAGCCGTAGCGATACGACCGGTGAGATCGTCCGATATGCTTTCTCCGTCATCTCCATGTTCGTCTTCGCTTTCCTTCAGAAACTCACCAAAGGCGGACTTTACAATCCTTTGACCGCTCTTGCTTCTGGAGTCACCGGTGGCTTCGGCAGTTTTATCTTCACCGTCGTGGTTCGAATCCCCGCCGAGGTTTGTTGTCGTTGACTTTTTTTTTGGTGAATTGAAAATTCTCTTGGGTTTTAGCTCATGATGATCCTCAATTCCTCATTAATACTTCTTCCATGAGATTTAGGATTTTTGTGTTGCTGTAAAATGTCAAAAATTACAGGGAAATTTTGTGATGGATCTATCCTCAATGTATGGTTTTAGCTGCTGGGTTCTCAGATCATCTTTGTTTTATGCTCTAATGTTTTACAAAGACTTAATCTTGGAGATTTTTTAGCTGCAAATTTTTCAAAGGTGATATCTTTGTGTGATTCCGGATTCTGTTTTGTTTAAACAGGTAATAGGATCAATCCTTGCGGTTAAACATGTCATTCACATTTTCCCTGAGATTGGGAAAGGACCTCGGCTAAACGTAGCAATACATCACGGTGCTTTAACCGAAGGGATACTAACATTTTTCATAGTTATGATCTCAATGGGACTAACAAGAAAGATCCCTGGAAGTTTCTTCATGAAGACTTGGATTGCTAGTCTTGCTAAGTTAACTCTTCATATTCTTGGCTCTGATCTAACCGGCGGATGCATGAACCCAGCTGCTGTATGTACCAAACAGAGAGAAGAGTCTTGTGATTTTGATTTTGCAGCAAAAAACCAATGTTTGTGTTTAGCTCTTTGTTTGATTTGTGTGAAAACTTTGCAGGTTATGGGATGGGCTTATGCACGTGGCGAACATATAACGAAAGAGCATTTGCTTGTGTATTGGCTTGGACCTGTGAAGGCTACACTGCTCGCTGTTTGGTTCTTTAATGTTGTGTTTAAGCCTCTGACCGAAGAACAAGAGAAACCAAAGGCTAAATCCGAGTGAGGAATTAGATCAGTTCTCATATTTAATCCTCTCCTAAGACAAATCTCCTTTTCAGTGACACACAAAGGGTGAGGTTGTTTCCGCCATAATCCTTGGACTTTGTTCTTAGCTTTCGTAATTTGTTGTTTATATAGCAAGCCCCAACTGTATCAATCGGTTCAATAAAATTTGAATTTTGATGAATCCAATATGCGATGTGATTGATAGATGCAGTAAAAGTATTTGGTTTATTGCAAAAAAAGAAAGACAATGTTTCTCAGTTTCGATCATTCAATTACAAGAAATGAAGAACCAACCATCAACTCTCGAGACTTTGGCACTGCAGCTACTAATAGACAAGATTAGGCTCAAACTCAGCGAAATCAACAGAGCCAGACTCAACAGGAGGCATAAGATAAGCAGCTAAGATCTCAGAGACTAAAGCAGCAATGTGAGGAATCCGCTTGATGTTCTTGATGAAGGAAGGATCATCAGTTTGTCCTACAGCCATCAGCTTCTCATTGATCACAACCATTCTATCCAGTTTCCTCTTGAACTCAGGGTTCTCAACATCTAGCACCGCAGGGAATATTCTTGCCGTGGTTCGGTTTGTCTGAAACAAATTTCAACATTTCAGAAAATGGCCATAACACAGCTTAATAAAATCTTCTGGTTTCAAGTTCCTTTACCTCGATGATGACGTGCATATCGAACTCCTTTGTGTTTAAGCCGATACCCTCGTAAAAATCAGTTCTTTGACAGTCGTTGAGGTACATTGTCACATACACCTGCAAGAACCAAATCTCTTACCGGTTAGGCCAATGTCTTGACGTATTTGAAGTAGAGAGTTAAGAGAGTGTAGTCTAATCACCGAGAGGCAGAAGAAGCGGGACCAGAGCTTGGCTTGCCAGTCATTGAGGAACTGAGGCTGAGCTTTCATCAAAGCAGAGAAGAAATCTCCATGGCGGTTCTCGTCTTGGCACCAGTTCTCAAAGTACTTGAAGATTGGGTAACATTGGTACTCAGGGTTTTGCTTGAGGTGTCTATAGATTGTGATGTATCTCCAGTACCCAATTTTCTCGGATAAGTAAGTCGCGTAGAAGATGAATTTCGGTTTGAAGAAAGTGTATTTCCTTGCCTTTGTCAAGAAACCCAAATCAAGAGCCAAGTTGAAATCAGACAAACCCTTGTTCAAGAACCTGCAAAAAAAAGTTCCATCAAATTCAAGAACTTGAGTAAGTCCCTGCAGTTTCACACTAAGGAAGAGATGTTCTTTGTAAAAATATCTTACCCGGCATGTCTTGCTTCATCTCTGGACATAAGAGAGAAGATCTCAGCCACAACAGGGTTTGTTTTCTGCAATGCCATCAGTTTAAAAATTAAAGATCAAACCAATAATGATCCAAAAAAACAATATTCAATTCTTAAGTTTTCCAACTAATAAGTCGATCTTCAAGTATAATGTAGACAAGAAACACTAAGCTAAGAACAACTCTTGAAAACACAGAGCTGAGAAAATAGCAGCACCTTATCTCAATTATCTTATCTAATGGGTATAAAACTGAAATGATCTAATAGTTTTGGAGTGAAATCTCAAAAAAGATACCTTGAGCCTTCTGCCAAGCTCTTTGTAGAGAAGAAAACCAGAGAATTCGGCAGTACAAGACCGCTCAAGGAACTCGACGAAGATCTGTCGGAGAGGTCCCTGCAATTTGTCCGCGGCTTCCTTAAACTCCTTGTTCCTCACGAAATGTGTCTGATTGTAATCGGTCTTAAACTCTTGAAGCAGAGCAATGAATTCTTCCTCGTTGAGGTTCTTGTTGATCTCGGTGTTGAAAAGCTGCTCCATCTCCTCAAAATCCGTCGTGTAGAACCTCGGAGTCAGAAGCGACTCCTGAATCTCTTTCTTCGTCCCCTTCTTGGATTTCGAGGTGGCGGTGGCCGGAGGCGGCGGCGAGGAGGTGGCTGACATTCTGATCACGGTGGAGAAACGTCGGCCGGAGAGGTATTTGCTCGGGTTAGTGAGCTTTGGGGTTGCGAACTTGGAGATGGGTTTCACTAACGCCATTTCAGCCGCCATTGGTTGTGAGTTGCAGAAAGCAAGGGAGAGCGAGTGAGAGAGCAAGCAGCTAGAGGAAGAAGATGAGGCTGTGAGGAATTTTATAATCGAAAAATCTCATCCAGTGAAAATCTGAATTCTGATGCGGGGCTTGACGCGTGGTGGAAATCTATTGGTTATTCTTGATTGCACTGTCTTCTTGATAATATCACCGTTAGTTTTGTGATTCCGTAATTTAACAACACATACATACATACAAAAACAATATCATGTGATAGATGGAGAATTAACCAATAGAAAAATGAAATCAATCAACCAATAAATAAATAAGAAAAAATTTCCGAAGATACAATAGTAGTATTCATTACAATTCATGGTCCAAATCTTTTTAATAACAAAAAAGAGAGAAAATATGTGATGCTGGTGATATCCAAATGTGCCATTCTGGTTATATAAATACAACTAAAAATTGAAAATAAAAACATAAAAACAAAAATCTAATGCTCAAACTCACAAATCCTACAATGTCTTATTTCTCTGGATCTTTTTTTCCCCACAATTATATAAAACACGGTTAAAAGAATGACAAAGAACAATCTCCACTTCTCCAGCTTCAAGCCCTTCTCTAGCAAGTTAAAAGAAAGGATAGTTTTAGGGCTGAGAATATAGGTTTCTTAAAAAGCAAGCAACAAGCTTTTGCAACACAGAAACAGAGAGGTAACACTTAATGAATTACCTCTATTTACGAAGCATTGGTGAAGTAGATTGAGGAGAGCTAGTTCCATCTTCAGATCCTGCGTTTATATTCATACCTTTGTCAGTATTCCAATTTCGCTCATACCCTTCAACTTTTTCTCTATCATCAATGGAGACCCGAACGCGTTTCCCTGCATCTTCATCATCACTTGAAGATCCTCCTGATTCTTGTCCATTTTTTTCATCCTTGTTATGACCATTGTCATTAATAAAAAAAGGATCAAAAGGAGGAATGATTCCCTCATTATGATGATGATGATGATGATGGTGGTGATGATGATCCTTAGCCTTCAAGTCATCTTCCTCACAATCATCTTCAAGGTCTTCATAGTTTAGATTCCGGAGAATCTCAGGGAGTGAGTAACTTTTTCCACCCTCATCAACAATCCTTCCTCCTCCCATTTCGATATCGATCTTCTCTTTCGAGCTAACTAGACTTTCACCCAAATTTGAAGTTGGAGTTTCAACCATCATATAATCTTCTTCCTTCACAAATGATCTAAACTTGTTCATTGATGGGGGAATCTTAGACATGAATATTTCCCATATGTTCCCTAATACTCCTTTGTTGTATGGATTCTCCTTCTTATCATAACGGTAACGGAAATTCTCATAAGTTGTCTGCACAAATTAGATTCACCATTAAAACAAAACAGAGAAAGAACAAAACCTGAAAGGATTGAAATAAAGCATAGATCTTTCTAATCACCTGGTTAGTGCAGATGAGATAGGAATGAAATATTGTGAGTCCACCAACAAACCAAACGGTAATGAAGCAGTAAACGATGAGAATATCCGATAGAACATCTTTGGATATAGCTTTCCAGATACTAATCTTCTCATCCATATGTCTTTGGAATATGTTCAACCAAGAAAACACAAACACAAATATACACAGAGTGGTTGATGTTGATATGAACATGAAGAAGAAGCGGTAATTCCGCTGCAAAGAATCAAAACAACTTTCAAAACACACACAGAGCCTATATAACTCTTGAGAAATTAAGGGCAAAGTCATTTAGTAACTTACCACTCCAATGCACTGGCCAACCCAGGGGCAGTGATGGTCGAATCTCTGGACACAGTTGTTGCAGATGGAACAATGAGAAGCTCGTGGTGGACGGTAAAGCAAACAAGTGTCACAGAATTTAACTTTTACGGTATGGCCATTAACGGTTACATCTTTAACCCTTGGTAACCTTATATTTGGGGTTCTACCACTAACCCATTCCATCGATGGAGTTGTTGAATCCGGTGCATCATCTGATTCCGGAGGCCTTAGACTTCTTGGCACAATCCCGGGATCTCTACCAGATGTCATTAAGAGGAAAAATATATCCTGAAGAAAACTATTGAAACTTTAGTTTCAGAATGCATCTTTGAAATAAAGTCATCTACAGAGTTGGGAAGAAGAAGACATACCAAAAGGGTGAGTATCCAAGACACAGCGAGAACTGGAATACAGAGTTTTGGATTCTTGGTATGAGGATCAGCCATTTTCAAGTACATTCTTACAAAGAACATTACGGCGGGACCAAGGATCAAGATGGTTGATAGATATAGAGATGACGCATCTGGACCAAAGATCAACCTCCCGCCACATAGAAATTTCTGATAAAACGGGAAAATCAAAGTCAACAACAAAATGCAAGGAGCATGAAAAGCTTAAATAGCTTGCAGTAACCACACTAACCATGACCTGATATATGAACCAATCAAGACTCAAAAGATACTAACAACTGAAACTAGCCAAAGAATGGATAAGAGAGGTTTTAATGAAACCAGAGAATGATCTAAACACAACAACTGATTTGAATCCACAGAAGGTGAAAATTATAAACAAAAACTCTTGATTTTTGCTCGCTTATCTAATTACCAAGTGGCAAATTCAAGAGTCTGAAATTCTATGACTTGGACTCAAAGGAATCCAATTGAGTCAAATGGACGTGCGATATCATGCCCAAAACTTATGTGATCAATCTTTTAAAGACAAGAAATGGGGACGATTAAACGTGAAACTAAAGCAAAAAGTAAAATTTCAGAACTTACATTGCTTCCTCTCCAAACTTGATAGAGCCTCTTGAGTTTGGTCTCATTCCAAGCCATAGCTAAAAGGGGGAAATGCGAAGAACAACGTCAAAGTACAGAAATTTTCGAAGAACCCAGAATCAGAAAACCATCGGAGAATCCATGGACAGAAGCTGATCAGAGAAGGGATCAAATCAGGAAAAACCCAGAAACGAAAAAAATATCTTCTTTTCTCCGAAGAAAGATTCACAAAAACAAACACTGTAATGTGATTGTGTAGTCCGAGAGGGAGAGAGACAGGGAAATTGAAGCTGTCCTCTCCACTCGAATCACAAAAATTATTTCAGATGTTTGCAAATTGCGATCCCTTTTTCCCTTTTCTCTTCTCTTTCCCTTATTTTATTTTTTGGTTTTTTTTAAAAAAAGCATCTGTTTTATCCGCTTCTCATTGCCGAATAATTAGATGGAGTTCATGAGTAGTTAATGGAGACATGGTATGTAATTAGGAAAAGTGATTAGCGAATAATATGTTTGTAAGAAGGAATATATTTCTTCTTATTTATTATTTAAATATTTTATCTCATGGTCGGCCAACTATATGTACAAAAATATTAAATAGAATGATGCAACAATGAGCTGTGAATGCAAGTCAAATCATCCCTCAATTAAACGTGCTTCACACATAGATTTTTTCCTCTTTCTTCTATCCATCGTTTGTGTTTTTCTTCTTCTCTTTTGTTTCATTATTTCTCTCTTGTTTTTAGTTTTTCCTTTGGGAAATTAAAATGTTTATTTGTAACTAGTAGTTGTTCTATCAATGGCAATGCCTTCAAAAGAGGTAACAGTGTTATTTTATTCTATAGGAGTCTGCATCTAAAACTATTCAGTATTCATAGCAAAAGAAAGAAGAAAGAACTCAAGAAGTCAATTTGATTTAAGATAACACAAAATAAAATGATGACAGTGACTAGTGAGATATTTTAGTTATGTAGCTTTTGCTGAATTGGTTAAGTATTCTGATTCTTACTGATTTTCTTTTCCATGTTATTTGTCAATCCATAGAATTATAAACATCTCAACGAATATTCATCTCTTCACATCCCTCTTTATTTTAGTTAATATATTCACTTTGTTCTCCTTTTCTTGTAAACTGTTACCGTAAGATCCAAGAAATACTGTATCTCATATAAACCCTAAAAAAAATGGAGAATTAAATACACCAATCGAATTACCAAGAGAGAAACCACTATATACACTAAATCTCTTAACTCCTGTTCTAAATTTGGAAAAGTTAAAAGTCATTTCAACAAGTACAGACAGAGACAGAGAGGTATACATGGCTTTGAATTACAGAATAAAACTTTACACCTGTTTGATCTGTTCTTTGCCCTATCTTGATCTCACATCTCCACGCTCGATCGAGTTTCTCCTTAAATTCGCCGGTCTTTGGTAAACCAAACCAATCGCTGCAGTGCCCGCCTCATTTACACTTATCTTCTTGGCAGTTACGTCACTGTAGTTGCCGTTTCTCAAGGCGGAAACGGAAGTTATCATGATCAGGCTTGTCACTGCTCATTTCCGTGTCTTGGGGACACAAAGGCTCTGCCTAGCTCAGAGGCGATGGATCCGACCTCCACATCGTCTTCTTCTTCTTCTGGCGCCCAATCTCTGAAATTGATCAAAGGCGGTGGGATTTTGGCGAAGAACAGCTCCATGAAGTTGTTATAGATCCCTTTTCGGTAAGGGTTTTCCTTCTTATCGTAATGGTACCGGAAATTCTCACAGGTCGTCTGCAAAACATAATAAAATAAAAAAAGAATCAGACCAACAATAATTGGTGATTGGAAACTAGGAAATCCCGTTCAGTGCTTGCTAAAAGCTAAAGAATCTTGCGAATAGTGCTTGAACGCAGGAATAATTTTCTTGTATATTTAGATTTGTTTTTAAAATATGTTCATGGTATGTAAATAGGAATAGTGATTATGCGAATAGTATGTTTGAACGCAGGTATAATTTTCTTGTATATTTAGACTTGTTTTTAAAATATGTTTTTATTTTAAAATCGAGGCCCGGCCCAAGTGGGACGCCCCATAGATCTAAAATTTGTATAAAAAATTTATTTGGATTTCATGGTCAATTTGTAAAGAAAATAAAAGAAATTGAGCTCAAATAATAATGTTTTATATATAAAAATTAAGGTTTTTTCTGAAAAAATATTCAAATAAGGGTCCAAAAATAATTATTTTATGTAAATAAAAATAAAAATATAATATTTTTATAAATAACTTTATTTAGGGGTCCAAATATATTTTTTTGTCCTAGGACTTTCAAAATTGTTGGGTTGGACCAACAATATGTAAGAGAGATATTAAGGTTGTTAAGAGTATAAAAACAGAGTAAAAAGGTTGAAAATAAGAAGTGGGAAAGAGATGAAAGAGAAAAATGCATCTCTCTTTGAATAGTATAGATGACCAAACATTCAAGCCTTAATAAGTAGAATGATTCTAGTTGACTATATCAACTTTTTTTGAAACAGTTGGTTTTGACCGAAAGTCTAAGAAAGAAAGAAGTCTAAAAGAGAAAAGATTAGAGCATGTGCAAAACTAGGGCAAGAAAGCCTTTGTTCATTTATAACAAGAAACTATAACAAGAAGCAATAACTTCAACTTCAACTTCTGAGGCAGAAGGGTGATCATTTGCGGATTCAGACATCAAACGTTTCGCTTGTTGGGGAAATGCCCCAGTCCATTCATATACGAGCAGATACAGTTTAAACCATTTTTTCCACTTGCTAAAAGAGTATAAATAATGTCCAAAAAGACTTTGGGAGATGGCACTTACCCAACTGTCCCATCGTTGTTAGGTATTTCTTTGCGCTTCAGTCTAATTATTTTCACAACATCCTCTCTTTTATCAACTTTGTTTTTGCACAAAAAAAAACATGAACGAAACCACCTTAGCCTGCAATGTGAACATGCAAAAACGCTACTGAGTCTAATCAAGTTCACATCATATCTCTCATATACATATATATCCACATTTGAAACTAGAACAAGAAAGAAATTGAGTCTGATCAAGTTCACATCATATCTCTCATATACATATATATCCATATTTGAAACTAGAACGAGAAAGAAACTGTCTGATCAAGTTCACATCATATCGATCATATATATATATATATATATCCACATTTGAAACTAGAACGAGAAAGAAAAGTATAACGAGAACATACCAAGATGTTGCAACTTGTCAAAATCATTGAGATACCGCGAGCTTGGGAGTGACGCAGTTGGCTCACCAAAATCAGGCTTCCAAAAATGAGGAACTTTGGTTGAGGCCTAGAAGATGCATCAAGCATTAGTTGAAACTCAAATAAACAAATAATAACCAGTAAGTGTGCCAAGGTATACGCACCATGTTTTGTTTGAATACATCGTTAAAAGTTCTATTGAAGTCTGGAGAAGCTAAATCAAACACCTCTTTAGATGATGATTGTGACTGGTATAGTGAGATATTATTTGCTCAGTTGGTAAAGTATCGGGGTAAAGTATTTGAGTGTTACTGCCTCATTTTCTTTCCATGTTATCTGTCATCGGTCATCCCATAGAAACTCAACGAATATTCGTATCTTCCCATCCCTCTTTATCTTAGTTAAATATTCACAAATTGTTCCCATTTTCTTGTAAACCGTTACCGTAGAACCAAAGAAATAGCACATTATATAAACCCTAAAAGAAAGATGGAGACAATATAATACACTAAACTGAATTACCAAGCGAGAAACCACTATATATATACTAATTCTCCTAACTTCTGTTCGAAATGCTAATAAGTTTAAAAGTCATTTGAGAGAGAGACACATGGCTTCAAATTACAGAAGTAAGACTTTACACCTGTTTTGTCTGTTCCTTGCCCTATCTTGATCTCACATTTCCACGCTCGATTTTCTCCTTAAATTCGCTGGTCCTTTGTAAACCAAACCATTCGCTCGCTGCAGTTCCTTCATCCACACTTGTCTTCTTGACAGTTGCGTCACTGTTGTTGCCGTTGCCACACTCCAGTTTCTGAAGGTGCAAATTGAGAGTTATTATGATCAGGCTTGTCACTGCTCGTTTCCGTGTCTTGGGGACTCAAAGGCTCTGCCTAGCTCAGAGGCGATGGATCCGACCTCCACATCGTCTTCTTCTTCTTCTGGCGCCCAATCTCTGAAATTGACCAAAGGCGGTGGGATTTTGGCAAAGAACAGCTCCATGAAGTTGTTATAGATCCCCTTTCGGTAAGGGTTTTCCTTCTTATCGTAGTGGTACCGGAAATTCTCACAAGTCGTCTGCAAAACATAACAAAAGAATCAGACCAACGATAGTAGGTGACTGGAAACTAGGAAAGCGACGCTCAGTGCTTGCTAAAAGCTAAAGAATCTTTGCCTGGTTGGTGCAGATTAGGTAGAAGTGGAAGACACTAAGTCCACCAACAAACCAGACGGAAACAAAGCAGTAGAGAGCAAGAACACCTAATATTATGTCATCAGCGAGGACGAGATAGAATTCGCCATGGACTTCAAGTAAGCTGACCCATGAGAAGACAAAGACGTAGATGCAGAGGAGGGTTGAACATGATAAGAAACAGACGAAGAATGGATAGTTACGCTGCAAAGAAGTCCGTATACAAACAGCATAAGATCCTACACAGTTTTTTTGTTTGAGAAATGAGAACCGGTTTTAAGTAAGACTTACCAAGGCAATGCACTGACCTACCCATGGACAGTGATGATCAAACCTTTGGACACAGTTGTTGCAGATTGAGCAGTGAGAAGCGCGAGGAGGACGGTATAACTGACATGTATCACAGAATTTAACTTTGACGGTGAAGCCATTCACCATTATATCTTTTGTTCGAGGTAGTTTCGCATTTCCTCCTAGTTTGTCACTCACCCATTCCAAAGATTGGGTAACAACCTCAGGCGTTTCTGCCTCAGGAGCTTCTTTGTTCCTTGGGATAATCCCGGGGTCTCTTGTGGATGTCAAGAAGAGAAATATGAAATCCTGCATACAAAAAAAAGAAAGAAAGAAGAAGAGGTGAAAGATGCAGGAATTTGGGTCTCTAAGTATGACTTGGTTTTACAAAGTAAGTGTTTTTATACCAAGATTGTGAGAAGAATTGCACCCATCAGAACCAGAGAATGGAATAAAGGGTGGCGATTTCTGATTAAATAAGCCATCCTGATGCAGAAAGTGATAGCTGGCCCTCCTATCATACATGTGGTCAAAAGAAGCGACGATGCGTCTGGACCAAACACTAGTCTTCCTCCACAGCAAAATTTCTGAACACAGGAAACGATAGAGAAAATCCATTTCAGACTAACAATTGGTATATAGACAGGAATTAGGATCTTGCTTTTGCTCTAATCAATACACATGAATCTTTCCAAACTAAAGGCTAAAATCTATGAAGATGAGGACCTTAAGTAATACCAACTCTAGAACAGAGAAAGCGTAATTACTAGCAAATCAATTCCGAGCATCTTCAGGTACCATTTAAAATCTACAATGTGGTTCGCAAAAATGAAAACTTTTATATTTCGAATCATCACGGAAAACTAAAACTCATAATTTTCTTTGTAAATTGTGAAAAAAGAAGAAAAAAAAAAGATCTCACTTAACGCCAAGATAAATCTCAATCAGGAAGAAACAACACATGAAAATGTTTACATTTTTGCCGGGCCAGACTTGATAAATCCTTTTTCGTTCATGATTCTGAGAAGACATGGCGTTTCTTCGTCGTGGAGTGGAAATGAAGGATTGTTCTCAGATTTTCAGTCTCAGAATCCGCGGCCAAACGCCGCCTGAGAATAAAACCGGCGATTTCAATAACCGTGCCGCCGAATGTTCGGGCTTTTTCCCTCCGATCCTTGCCTTCCTTTCTTCTTCTGATAATGGTTTCTGGTTGAGAGATGTGATCTGCTTCTCTCTCTCACCCTCCATAGATTTGTCCTCCGCCATTGGAAGTTCCTAAACACCAACATCATTCTCTGGAACAACCTTAACATAGCTTTCTCGCCATCTCACACTGGGAGAGCCACGTGTCAATGAGTCAACATTCAATAAAAAGGTACCCACTCCGGTTCTTTCCATTCAAACCGAGTGAATTTCTATTTCGATTTTTATAAACCAGTGAAATTCGAATCCAAACCAAACTGCAAACCGGATTGATCCGGATCAAATCCAATCCGTTCGTTTAAAGAAGACGCAGAGAGACAAAGCTTATCCAGAAACTAAACTTGAAATGAAGGTCTGAAGGCGAAATTCTTCCATTCGAAGAAGATGGCTCTTCTCTGCTTCAATTCTCTCTCTCCTCTCTCTTCTCTCTCTTCTTCTTCTTCTTCTCCGCGCCTTCAACTTTCGTCTTTCGCTTCACCAGGTACGCATTTTCTCTCGTTTCTAGTCTCGACGTATCGCTCTTCACCTTCGCTTTTTCCGTGGAATTGTATTGGAAAATCTCCATTACAGACCCAAGATACCAAATTCTAATTCCTAAGCTACTTCAATTTCTTGTTTATCCAAGCAAAAAGCGTTTTTTTTATTCGGGTTTTGAAACTGAAGATATCGAAGTAGACGTTCATTGAGTCATTTCATCGAATACTTTAGATTTGATGTTTCTTAGGTTTTCTTGTGAATGCTCTGATCTTTTGGTTTCTTCATCGTATGGATTTCAGTTTGTAGCCTTAAACCCAACGGCGTCGAGTCCAAGAACAGAGTCTCTCTCAGTGCTTACAACTTGAGCAGTAGCCATGGAAGATATGCAATTGTGAAGGCGGTTGCTTCTGGCGTGGACGGGGCTGAGCCCGAGAGCAATGAGGAGCCAAACACTGTTGTTGCTGCTGTTCCAGTGGACAAACTACCATTGGAATCAAAAGAAGCTAAAGAGAAACAGCTGCTGGAACAGAGGATGAAGATGAAGTTGGCTAAGAAGATTAGGCTGCGCAGGGCAAGGCTTCTTCGTAAGCGTAAGATGAGGAAGAAGGGTCGATGGCCACCTTCCAAGATGAAGAAGCTGAAGAATGTCTAAGAGACGACTCTATGCTCTCTTTTTTTTTAATTCAATTTTTTTCTGTAATGTTGTTTGTAACTTTCGGGAACAATTTTAATGGCTTTTCAAATGCAACCATTGCTTTTTGGATTAATCTCAAACTGAGTTCTTTAAAGGAGCCATTCTTATACAAAGAGTGAGCTGTCTATGAATAAAACAAAAAAGTTTGGAACTTGCATCGAACTATTTGGTTACTACTAAGGAAGAACATGTGAACGGAAGATGAGAGGATAGGTGCAACAAAATCCGGTGCTCCAACACTGCAACAAGATTTATTCAGAAGATTGATTAAATAACCGGTTCTATCTATTCAAGTATAAGAGACTCTGATTAGGTATATGGCTTACCACGGAGAGGAGTGGACCTTGCTTGAACTTGTCATGGAATGAAAAGGAAAGAGCTTTTGGGTTTTCCCCAGGTCCTCTGATGAAACCGCTGTAAACATAAAAGCAAAGATTTGTCTTTTTTCGGTTTAGACAATGCAAGGATACACAAAAGAATGTCTAAGACTGATGGATGGATAATTGCAGAAATTACTTACACAAGTGATGCTGAAACAATAGGCGTCCTTCGTGTGTCGTAGATGGCAATCAATCCTTTGTAATTGTCATCGCCTCCTTTGTATGACACAGCCAATCGTTCCCCAGATGCATCCCATGCTATCTTCTCGATTCCCTCGCTGGTTGTTCAGTTATGATAACCATAATATGAGCAAACAATCAAAGAAAGGCCTCTCTGCGGGTTTAGTTTAACAACAATCAGATCATTTTACCTGCCATTCAAACTAGCTATCTCTGGTAATTCAACTGGTAACAGATGGGCATCTGAAAGTATACCAAAACAGGAGGATTAGGATGTTAACTGGTAAGTATGTCTAGTAGCTTATGCAAAACAGCTTCAAAAATAATTTCTGCATACCTAATGATGGTGGCTTGGATGAGAAATGAACAGAACCCAGTGTTGAAGATTTTGAAAACGAAATCAAGATAAACCGTCCTTCAGGATCCCATATTGCTCCCTTTAAGAGAATTTAGTATCAGTAAGTATCATAGTTTAGTCCTCTTAAGAGGAAATGAAACACAGTTGTAATTTCAAACATCAAAGAAGGGACATATTCTATGCTTAGTAATTTCAATGCATACAACACTCACGACAGTGACCTCATCCGAAAAAACCGCGTCGATCAATAACCAGTTGCATAACTCACGATCCTAGCTATTTAGCTACAATAGAATTTACCGTGACAGATCCAGATCCCGTAGACAAAGACCAGGGCTCAGATGTCCATGTGTTTGTTTCCCAAAGGCAAAAGGTCCCATCACTGTAATAAGAGAGAAAACCTCTTATTAGCAAACACATCAAACAGGAAAATACTTAAGACAGCTGTAAATAAGAAAGAGAGTTGATGTCCTACAATCTTGCTGCAAAGAAGTAGTCCCCTGTGGGTGACCATTTAAGCATTGATATGCCACCTAGTCCCCGTCGAATAGGTGTCCCCGCCCCTGGAAAATGTACATAGATCACATTCAGAAACAAGGAACTCTATCCACTTAAGCAAGACGCATTTTTTCATCTCAAGTCAAGATATAGAGTGTTACACAAGAGCAAGACAGCAAATTCTGTCTGATCAACGATTTAGACTTGATTGACTGATACTTCCATACCGAACTAGTTAGCAGCAAAGCGGAGGTGCAGCATTAAGAAAGAGTAGTAAATAGTCCTATTACCTTGAGAAACATCCCATATGGTGAATGAAGAGCTGTCGTATGAAGCTGATGCCAAATATGTGAAACTTGGTCAAGGGAAAACAGAATGGACAATATTAGGGACCCATGTGATGCAAGAATCCAACAAATCCAAATACTTTCCAACAATTGCCTATCATGAGAAACAACTCGATAAACAACTACGGTAAGCGAAATGATCTTGACAATGCGTGTAGTTCACTAATAAAACCAAAATGAAAGAAAAGCAAAACAGATATAGCAGAAAACATTTTTAGGATATCTTCCACATGGGCTCCAAGAGAGAGCACTAATTTGCTCATCATTTTGACACCGAAGAAAGTCCACCAAGATCCAGCGAGTTCCAGATCCTCGAGAGAGACTTCCTCTCAATGAAGAACCACCAGCTCTAACCAATGCCATGTTACCTGGGTAGGAAGCAGTCCATATGCATATCCCTCCCCTGTTTCAGTGGAGCAGTTGTTACTAGGTCATCTATCAAACCACCAAATAAAAGAAAGTAAAGATTATTCAAGGGAATAATACCCACCGACAGGCTACAGAGAGTGATTTCCCGCCATTTGGCCTCCACTCAAGGGCTTTAACATTTCTCTGAGAATCACTTGTTAAAATGCAGGGTTCTTTCTCATCTGTTCAAAACAGAATATCAAATTGGATGCACACGAAGTAGGAATACAAATAGAAAGAAGAAGAAAGAAAAAAAAACAGACCTTTGTCCTCGTAGTCACGAATTGTGACTTGACTTGCACCGGATATAAAGGCAATAATATGCTTCCCCTGATGCCAGCTCACTCCTTGAAGATCAATCTCTGACAGAAGATTTACCTACAAAATGTTGTGTAGAAAAGAAAAGATTATTGACACCAACAGCTACGAAAATGCCAATTTGAAATTGCAGAGAAGACATAGTGGATGACAATCCTAAAAACACACACCTTACAAATAACATATTCATTCCCCTAGATACAAAACGATAACTATTGTAAGTATCCATCACAAAATGGTAGACCTCCCTCAGTCCACGAAAAGAACAACACATAGAAATCAACAGTTTGCTAAGGCAGGATCTCTTAGTCATATTCTTACATCGATGGGTCGTAAAATATGTTTAAGAGAGTCTGCAACCATCGATTGCAGTATCGCCACCAGTCCTTTTCTCTCAACACTTCCCTTATCTCCACTCTCCTGGCCTTCGTTTTCCTGCAGAGAGCCAGGTCCAGAGTCGAACGAAACAGGGCTAAACACCAATCCCTGTGATCAAACAAACAATGAATGTGTCAAGAAAAGCCTTTGGTTGCTACCTACAAGGAATGGTTTCAAATCAACCTTTCAGGCTATATGAATTTATACAAAAATGAAAAAGGACGCAAACGCACGAGAATTTTTCCATACGTCTCTTGAGCTCGATCGTCAGACAAGTTCACAGCCGTAACTGCATTCCGTAAATCCAGTTAATTAGCTCAGAAATCCGAAAGCCCTAAATTTCAAAATAGAAAACAGAACATTGATATAAAAACTGAAAGGGCAAAGCTTTGTTTACTCAAGTCTCTGTTGATCTCGCAAACGGTGACGGAACCGGGATGAGGAAAAGATGCCATTGTCCTTTTTGTAGAATCCGCACTCCGAATCAAAAACAGTGTGACTTTGAAGTTTTTTTGCAGTATCTATTCAAGTTTGCAGCGATTACCACTTATCTGTCGAATGTCCGATTAGACTCGAAATCACAGATAAGTGCGGATTATTTCCGGAGAACGGCGACGGGTTTTCGCCGGAGAAACGGAGGGAGGGATACTGACGAGAGAGTTTTGATTTTGATTTAGGGGTTTTGGTTTGGTTTCCTGACCAATTTCTCGCTTCGACAGCTTGGATAATTGAATTAATAAAATATTGCTGTAATAAAAATATAATCCGGTGCAGATTGATCCCGTTACTAGACCGGGTCATAACCGGACATAAACTTTATAAGTCAAAGAAAGTCAAGGATTGAATTAAGTTATTACGTTAGAATCGGATTGAACCGGATTAGTCCATCGCAACTTTCCTAATCTCTTGTGTTATTCTAGTCAAAACTAAGACGAACCTAAACTACTTTTTGGTTCAAGAAATGGTTTTCGTTTCTGTGTTTCTTGTCGGTAATTTACGTAAACACGAAGTTAAGGGTTTTGTGCTTTTTCTCGCTAATTTACGTAACACAATTTAAAGGATAAACTTTATCTATGATTGTAAGTTATATGGCACACAACTTGCATCATAATATGTTGTTTTGGTGCCTTCTTGATTTTGTTTTTATAAATGGTAAAGCGAGTTATTTTGTTTCCGTGTTATAAGATTTTGAAACCTCACAAAATCAAAAGATTGGATTTTTCTTTTATGTATTTGTAGTAGATATAAGATTCCATTGCGTAGTCATATTTTCCCCCAAAAGATCCGGTTGGATCGGAGTTTGTAAATTTTCACTTACATCATTTTTCCAGGAAAAAAAAATAACAGATTGTCTCGTATAACAACAAAAGAGAAGTACTCGATTCTATAAAATATCTATAAGATTCTTGCAGACGGCAATTTCCAGCACATACTTGCACATTTTTTTGGCTATTCACACTTACATTTCTATGAACGTACATTGCTGAGCTAATTCATAACTGTAATTCTGTATATATCTCACCATTTGGTAGGCAGAAAACCTTGACTTTTGAATATGATTGCCAACTTCGGTCCGGGTTGTCCCAACAAAAAAAAAACTAATTTCGAAATTCTTAACTCTACGGACATAGATGTTATGAAAAGAATGTTTCAAATTTGAGATAATTCATATGCTTCCACATCATGTACATCATGTTTAGTTTTTAAATATCAACTATTCTCTTAATTCTTTAATTTTTTTTTGGCATGCAGTAATCTAATGATTTTTAAATTACTTCTAATTAAAATCTAATTAAAAAAGATGTCTGTGAATATTTGCAGCAAAAATAATGTTTCTTCTATCATATTTCGAGTTTATATATTCTTATAGGATATTAGCAATTAAAAATGCAACTGCTAAAACTGCTAAAACTGCAAATATTATTTTACTGGCAATGTATATTATGTAAAATATTATTAAAATATCATTGTTTAAAGAAAAAAATTCTAAAACACCAAAATAGAATCTTTAGCAGAAATTGCATGATACAGATACTGGAAGTTCAATATGGTGAATAAATAATTTTACAGAAAATATAGTACATTGAAAGCAAGAAAGTGCTGCTGCTGCTACTTCCCTGAGTACCTCACAACTAGCAGTTGCAAAATTAATTTTAGTATATCATCAGATAGAGCATATAAAATGTTCACCTTTGCTATGCCCTTAACCAACTAGCTGATTCTCAGCAGATATTTATTTTCCCCTCATCCTTATTCTTTTCAAGGCATAGTTTAGTCTATCGTACTTGTTTTTGCACAAAAATACAGCACCAAAACCATTTTCACCTGCCATGTGAACATAAATTTAGCAAAGGCAGTTTGGTGCAAAAGTTGTTCATAAGCCCATATGCAAAGACGCTACTGAAAGTATAAAGGAGAATATACTAAGATGTTTCTGCTGTTCAAATTCACTGAGACACCAAGAGCTTACCTTTGGCTCACCAAAAGCAGAAAGTGGGTTCTGAAACTGAAGAACTTTGGTTGAGGGCTTGAAGATGACATCAATTGCATGCATTAGTTGAAACTCAGATAAACACATTATGTGATAATTTTGATAAAACTGAATAGATTAATTTGGTATACTTACAGATTTTTCATCATCTTTATCAGGAATTGAAGCGACATCTGAAGAAGATAACCCCAGTGACCTATATTCTGAGTGATTGCTGTTTTCGACTGTATCACCACCTCTTCTAAAAAATGATTTCTGCTAGATGCAATGAATTTTTTTTCAGGAAGAACGACCAATGTAAACAACATTCTAACCAGCAGTAAAATCAAACACAATGATAATTTTGATAAAACTGAATAGATTACTTTGGCATAAACAGTATACTTACAAATTTTTTATCATCTTTGTCAGGAATTGAAGCTACATCTAAAAAGGATAATCACATCTCTTGTCTTTTTTTTTTAAAAAAAACAATCATCTCATGTCCCTTACTTTAACAGTAAAATCCTAAAAGCTTATTCAATTTTCAAAAGAAACCAAAAAAAAATAACAAAAAAGTAACAAAAAAATGGTAAACCCTTAGACCAGGTCCATTAGAGTTTCTTAAGAGGTTTAGGATTGTGTTTCTTTGCAATTATTGGGTTAAAAAAAAAGACTCAAATACATAAGAAACGATAAGATTTTAAGGAGCAATCTTTAGAGAGTTTATTCGGACAGGTGTAAGAAAGCGCTCATTGGTGTTTGGTTAAAAAACAATTGAAACTGATTCTCTTTCCAAACGTGGACCATAACTATTTTTTTCGCCATCAATTTGGTTGATGTTTTTTATTTTTCTTCACTATTCATAAAGAAAAAAAAAATTCTTAAGAACTCTAAAGAGGGTTCTCTAATTACATGTTCTTACTCTAGTAATAAACTAATAACTAATAAGAACACAAGAATTAAAATAAATTAAAAAAATAAGAAAAAGAAATCCTGGCAGACACCGAAACACAAGATAATGTAAGACTTAGGACATAAGCTTTTTGCCATCTCACAAGACGCAAACGCGGTTACTTGGAATCATACACCAAGTGTTCCTAACACGGGCAGTCATTTACGCCTATATATATAAACTCACATTATATTACACAATCAGAAGATCATATTGAAAGCAAAAAGATTTAAAGACAAAACGTATAAGACAATATGTTTGATTGGGTACATGGAAACTCTCGATTACCACTCGCCTTATCTGTACGTTGCCATCCATCTCTTTGCTAGATGTTCTTCAACAAGTCGTTGTATTTTCTTTTCTAATGTATATTTTTTCTCTGTTGCTAAAGATTGTCGAGCTTCTGGTAGATATGGATTGCCAAGGATGTGAAAGGAAGGTTAGAAGAGCCATTTCCAAACTCGATGGTAAGTGGGGGAAACAAAACATAATACAAAATCAAACATCCATTTGATTCGTATAACCATAATGCAAATCTCTTATAACATTAATTGTAGTTGAGATTATATATTGATAAACTAACTTAACAGTCTAGTGATCAACATGTAATATTATAGGAGTTGATACGGTAGAGATAGACGTGGATCGGCAAAAAGTGACGGTCACAGGGTACGTGGATCGAGAAGAGGTTCTTAAAATGGTGAAACGAACGGGACGAGTAGTGGAGTTCTGGCCATTTCCTTATAATGGATATTATGGCGACTATTATACGTATCCTGCTCAATACTTGGAACAATCGGATCAGAAGATAAATCATGCAGAAAATAATGTTTCATACAGTGGGAAATACGATTTGTATGAAGACGGTTATTATCCTCGTCCGCCCCAAAAAGTTGATGAAAATGCTCTTCATCTCTTTAGCGATGACAATGTACATGCTTGTGCTATCATGTGATTTTTTTGTATTTTTATCTTTGCTCATTCTTTTATTAAATTTATTCGTTTTGTAATTCTAGAATACCAAAATTTATTCCTTTTTTTAATAAAATTATTCTTTTTCGATTTAGTCTTTTTTTTTATTCCTCTAAAATTGTAAGTTTGTTTGATATAGTTTTAATTTAGTGGATATTTGATTGGGCCTAATGTTAAAGTATAGGCCCAATATAGCTATTGTCATGAAGCGGCCATTGAAGCGCCACGAATTCTCTCTCCTTTATTTTAAAACACACAGAGAAGAAGATTCTTCAACTTCATCCAATTCACTTGAATGCAACACAAAAACCATCGTTGTATATGTACATGTGTGGAGACCAGGTATGAGTGAGTGAGCTCCTGAAAACAAAATGGAGGGATCCCTGGATTTCTTCATGTTGGGTCACTACATGTAGTAGAAGACGCGACTTGAAAACGCGAATTTTATAACGCTTCCCGCGATTCCCAGTTTCTTCCGCCGTACGAGTACGAGCGGTTTCTACTGTAACCGGGTTACTTCGTCAGCTCTCCAATTTCAGCCGCGGTGCGTTTGAGTCGGTAATCGCGTTACCTGAAGACGCGAGCGTTTCTCTTGTTGCTGCGTAAGTAACTGGATGCTGCTTGTTCTTTTATAGTGATTAATATTGTGTTTAGCCATTTGGATTCTTAATTAGGGAACTGATTATGCTAGATTTCCATTAAAGCATGCGTTTCCTATCTTGATGCAAGCCCAATGCAATGTGGCTCTAATTTATCTAAGGGTCACCTTTCAGAACGTTGATCTCGATTGCCTTGTAATTATGGTTATCTTAATATTCAATTAAATTTCTGATTGGAAATTCTTCTGCTGTGGAGCCTAGATAGTGGAATGTGATTCATTCATCGACATGGTTTTAGTTTTGTCCGTATATAACTGCTTCTCAGTTTTTGATCTATATCCATTAATCTTTTCCGATATAGTTGTGACCATACCTGTCGACATGTATTGTCTTGTTTTTGATGATCTTGCTTAGAGCTCGTAATCTTCTTATGTTGTTGGCATGAGGATCCATCTTGAATGCATGAAGTCTGAGAATGCCTCAGTTTGAAGTTCTTATAGTCTCTAGGCTATATGTTTGTGTAAAATTAGAATTAAAACAGTAAAAGAGTTATAGCCACTGCACCTCGAGATGTAGTTTGGGCTAGGAGGCCTGTGATGGTGTTCGGAAACTAATAACATTACCCATTTGGACCAGGTAGCTGTGGAAGGAAGAGACATAGGATTCATATTGTTGTAGAAGCTTAAAATTGTATAATTTTTTGGGCTGAGACTGAAATTGTGATCTGTATGTTTACTATTGGAACTTATTGTGTCGATTATAAGGTCTAGCTGTTTGAAACATGCGCAGAACCTGTGTTTCTTGATCGAAGCGTTTCGACTCAACAACAAAATGAGATGAGAAACAGAGGTTAGCTGGGCTAGATCTCGTATTTTCCAAAGTATATGCAAATCTCAGAATATTTTTGTAGCTGCTTCACCAGTGTTTTACATGCTAGCAATAAAATCAACCGATGATTTTAACTGATGAAATTATAAAAAAATATCAACTTGTGGATGATGTGACAAATACAAATGCGTGTATATTCTCTCTGTTTTATTTCCTTCTACTACCGGTGAAAATCTGAAAACGCTTTGTAATTTCTTCCAGAAATCATTTGAAGAAGGCGCCATGTAAATTCATCGCAAAAGCAAAGCCAGACCTAGATCAAGGTGGTATAAACAAAAGAACCAAAGGTAATACTTACGCTCTAGCACTTGCTTGTAAGGTTTCTTCATATCATATCCGGTTTCAAACAAACCCAAAAAAATTAATTAATTCATGTCATTCTCATATGTTTAGAAGTCCAAAGACCGACCCACATGAGATGATAGATAAGTGTCTGAATCTGAATCAGACAAAGTAGATGATGTGTCCCTCATAAACCCTTCTCAGGTGCAACCAACAAACACCTATATTTGTCGCCGTTGCATTTCATTAGTCTTTGTTCCGATTATATATTATATATAATCGTTTGGTCAATCTATGGTCCCTCCCTTATATTTATTGCTGAGATAATCTCTTCCACCGTCCACATGTTACGAAATTTTTGTTTTGTTTTTAAAATGATTCTCGTTCAAAATTCATTGTGCATATAGATCCAACAAAATGTGAAGTTCATCCAAATATAGTGTCCACATTGGTCAAACGTTTGCAAAGTTTTGAGTCAGTGTTTAAAAGTTTACGTTTTTGTATCTAATGGGTAAGTTTAATCTCAACGGAACATTGGTATCGTGTAAATTAAGAAGTTTTGCAAATGACGTTTTACTGTCAAACTTGGAACACGGCTGATGATGATCACTGCTTCCTCTTTTGTGGCATTGAACGTTGACTCAACTTTAAAACTGACCTAAGATTGTATTGAAAAAAATATTGAAACTTTGAACAACTTCAAATTCCTTGCGACTTTTCTCATCCCTCTCATTCCTTGTAGATAATTTTAATTAATATATTTTCTTCACCTTTTGTCTTTTCTGATCACCAAACCCATTAAGAGATATTTTTTTATTTAAACTTTTCTTTTGGGGATGTAATCTTTTTGACTTGGGTTCTAGCACTATCGTTTACTTTGATATGCTCTTGTAGAGTAGTAGTTGTTGGAATATAATCTTCTCTTTGATGTAAACGGTTCTTGCTCTTACACTATGCTTGATTTTGTGACTAATTAGTTTCTAACGTTTCATTGGGAAAACGAGAAAATTAAAAATCAAAGGAAAATTGTTTGGATTTGTATCAGTAATGGAGACATTATTGTGGGGGTGGTAACGTATATAATTGTCTTATGTGTGATATCGACAACATATATGTCCATGGGACCATCAAGATATTCTCTTTAGCTGCTGAGTAAAAAATCTATCAAATATTATCTTTTTCGCTCTCTAGCCTCAGTGGCGGTTAAAGCTTAAAAGTAAGAGTTGTTTTACTTGTTACTACTTGTTTCTCTAATCGTAACGAAAATTAAAATTGCTACACTCAGTAAATGTTTTATTAATCAGAGTAATCGTGTGTTCTTCTATTATCTGAGTTGGACAAGATGAGCTCTTTGTTGACTTGTAAATCCGTGGTTCATCCTTTTAAAATGAAGATGACAGAAATGCTATTTGAAAAGAATTCAATTTATATGTAGGAAAAATATATTTAAAAAGGGAACTATTTAGAAAAACTAATATTGGACCAAGTAGGATCCAAGTAACGGAACTTATCCGAGAAAAATAAGTAAACAAAAAGAAAAAAAATGAAGAAAGTAAAACCTTAACATTGATTTTCCCAAAAGTATGAACAAGAGAGACTCCATAGCCACAAAGCTCAGCCCGAAAAAACAAAATATTCATAAAGAAGAGAAAATACAATTAAAAAAAAAAAACGATCTAAAGAAAAAAGTAAAAAAAAAAGGATTACATCTACAAACACACTAATTGAATCCAATCGATCACATAACTTTCCACGATTCAAGCGTCGGGTAACTATCCAATTCCACGGCGGAGCCACCACCAACACCATCCGCCGTCGCCGCCGTATTCGCAGCACCGGACCGATGAAACAAACTAATCGGAGCTGAAACAGAGCCCAACTCCTGGTGATGGTTAGACAAAAACGAAGACGTATCGAGCGTCGGAAGCGCCGAAGATCGATCCAAAGTCCTGCTAGCGAGCCGATGCGGCTCCGGCTTAACGATCGGCGACAAAATGCCGTGAGAAGAACCAACGAATTTCGCGCCGGTGACTTCCTGAACCATCTGCCGGAAATTAGCCGCATCCGCCGTTATAAACGTAGTCTGAGATTTCTTCGTAGAAACTCTCGATCGGCGTTTCGGTGGTTTAACACCGGAAAGACCAGGACCACGCTTACGCTTCGCGCCGCCATAGGCAGCGATCTCCGGATCTGAGCCGAAGGAGACGTTAGAGAGGGTTTGAGGAGGGGAGAAATCGGAGACGGCGGCGGAATCGAAGTAAGCGGAGGGAGAAAGAGGATCGGCGTGAAGAGAATCGGTGGTTGTGGAAGTTGAGATGGATCGGTGAAGAGCTTTAGCGAGTAAGTCACTATCGTGAGAGAAAGGATCAGGAAGTAACCATGAGTCGATGTTGTTGTTGTTGTTGAAGCTTTGACGGAATGACCAGGGCTCGATGCTCGTTAATCCCTCAGATGACGTCATAGATTTAACCGCCGGAAAAATTTAGGAACCTTAAACCGGAAAATTGATCGGGAAAAAAAGGAATTAGAGAATCTTTTTAATGGAGCTCTCTGGTTTTTGGGTGGAGGAGAGGAAGTTTGAAGAGTGAACGAAAGAGGAAGGGATGAGAGATAAATAAATAGGACGGCGTAGAGAGAGAGAGACCGAGGAGAGAGAGGGTGAAACCGCGTGGAGAGGAGAGAGAGAAGTAAGACACGCGTCAGCAGAGTTGTACGGAAGTCTGACTCAGCTCTGCTTCTTCTACGGTCTTATTTAATTAAACACATGAGTCCATGTCTTAAACTTTAATACAGTATTAGTTGAGGATAATGACGTCGCTAATCTCTTCTTATTGAAACTTTTGGAGAAATGGATTTGCGGAATTTGTCAAATATAGGAGCATTTCCACTAGTGTTATTCATGTTGAGTTTCACAAGAATAATTTAATAATTTTTTTTGAAGAGAGAAAAAGCTAGTATTCCTTTGTCACACTTCATCAATTTCATTAAACGTCCAATAAACGCTTGCTCCATGTTTTAAAAACTGGTTTCTTCAGCTCCTTATATAAAGAGTAATCCATAAGGAAAATGAATTTTTAAAATTTTTTTTAATCATTTTGTTTATGAAATCGTACCACAAAATGGGTTAAATAAAAGTGCTCTAATTGACTACGTTGGAAAAAAAAAACACTTTTTTACTTCTAAATATCTATGAAGTTATAGTTATTAGTTACAGCTAACTGATTCGATCCGTAATTTGACGAATTAAGTACCTGATTATATGTAGAAACTTAGATTGACAATGCAAGGACTCTAATCTCTTATTTTTTTTGCCAGTTAAACTTCAAAAACAAGTCACATTTGGTTAAAATCGACTTAATCAATATACATACTATATTGTATGTCGTCATATACGGACCCATAAACGCAGAGAAAAGAATGTTGGTTATAAACCTAAAATTCCGAGCTTAGTATTAATTTTTGTTTGTTTTCAATAGTGTTAGCATTTAGCAACCTAGAATTCCGAGTTTAGTAAATTTTTCGCATTATTTCTACGGAGTATTGAATTAACATTACAAAAGTACAACTATTTCCATTAACTCCACTAAACCACACAAATGTGACTTGTTTCCATAATCGGTACGGAGTATTGTTTTTGTTCCACCAAAACCGTATATATAGACATAAACTTGAAACGAATTAAAATACCGAATGGGAAACGCTCTGTTACATAAATGCAGGTATGACTTTGTGACTAATACTAGTAGAATATTTCTAGCTCCTATATTGGTTTGATTAATTATTTAATGCGGTTCCATTTTTGTGAGAGGCATCGTATTCAACTTTTTGTTTCTTCGATATTATACTGGGTCAATATGTATATTATCTAATCTTTTGGTTATCTCTCTAAATCCATACCAACATACAAACCCTGAAACAACCATATATATATATATAGCGTAAATTGCAAAGAAGAACACTAAAACAAGGATAGCTGATAATAGATCCAACCAACCATTCTTGGTTGACCGATTCAACAACTATACGTAATCATTTTTTATTATTGTCATTTTTCTTGTAGATATCTATATTTACATATCAATATATACTTTGACCTATTGAATGATTTTTGTCATATACTCATTGTAAATTCAAAATTGCAAACTTTCGTTTTGTCAATGGGTAAATAAAAACTTGAGTAATTTAATATATTTGTTTTTTCACCGTTTCAAATACATTGATGACAAAACCAACTATATACACACTATTTGTAATGTTTTGACTATCACTATTATTTAAAGTATAGGCTTCTAGTGTCTCGATTGACCTCGAACAATCTGGAACTTAATTCTAATGATAATTTTGTATAGTCACAAATTTATGGACTTTTACTTGCAGTAGTAACTAACAATAGACCAATATATACATGTTTTATATTTTGTTTTACTAACTTGCCTGCTAAAATTAAGGTGAATGTCTTGAACTCAATATTGGTATTGTAACATCTCTATCCCAGGCTCCTAAGAGAGCGGGGAACCGGGTATGTTAGATCGGTCATCGAACCGCGTTCGGTAAGATGTCCGATTTGGTGAGCACACAGGATCACTAGGAAAACGCCCAGGTAACAATCAACAACACAGACTTAGGCTGATCTCCCTACTAAACCTGAAAGACAAGAGGAGAGGAGGGGTGAGTAATTGGGATTACTCAGTGAGGGTGGACCTTAAGGAGGCCCACAACGTCATCAAACTAGCATAAATTGATTTTAAGAGATCTAATCCTAAAGCAAGCCCAAGCAACACATATATAGATATATTTACTTATATATATAGACAATTCATTCCTAGCAATCAATCACACAGCATTCAAGGATAACCCTACAAACAACTACACAAACAACGGGTCCCTGGACGCGGCAGTAGTGGGCTGCCACATGGGCCCCCATGCCTCACCCGGAAAGGCAACCAGAATAATCCCATCCAATGGCTGGCCTATTACCATACCCATTAGTCAGGTTCACTATGCCAGTCACACAGACTGATCCACAGCAATCACCGAGACAGGCTATGACACTAACGGTCACTCAGACGGCTGCTCATAGCGGTCTCACCAGAAAGCTGTACCCAGCGGTCCCTTTGGACGGCTCAATAAACAGTGGATCGCTAATCCACTCCAGCGATGGCTCTAGCCGTGCCTCACACGACAGCGATAGACAACAAACAACACTGACTCCTGCCTCCAGGAGCCAGGGGTCCTATCAAAGATCTATATGCACACTCATCCATTTCAAAGAATCATCCATTTCTTAAAGGTCCTTCCATTATTAAGATGCACTTTCGGTGATACCAATTGTAACAAAAAGGAACATTAATCAGGTTAACATCACACAATCAATATTTTAAAGTCCAATAAGTTTAGATCCAAGTTCAGGTTAATTATCTCATTCCACCAGCAACCAGCAATCATCAACAAACAGGCAACACAGATCCAGGTCCTAACAATTCTAACAACCCTAACAAGCAGATCTAAGCCTGATCTAAGAAAAAACCACTTAAAAGACAACCATGCATATGTAAGAGAGGATGAAGCCACAGAGCCCTCACCTTGGCTTAGAAGGCTGAGAGACTGGAGGAAGAGGCAGAGGAGAAGGAGATCTAAGAGGAGATCCATCAGAATCAGCTCCCATCTCACCCAAAGGAGAAGGAGGCGGCGCAGACATCACAACTGGGCAAGGAAGCTTCGGCGGCGAGGGAGGCTTGGAGGATGGCGGTGACCGCGGCAAGGAGAGAGAGACACGGCCAAGAGAGAGAAAGAAGAAGAAGAAAACGCAGAGAGAGAGAGGAAGGGAGCAGCTCGGCGCAGAGAGGAGAGAAAGAAAGAAGAAAAAGGTGGTTATAGTTTATTAGGAGCTTAATGAGAGTTTTAGAGATTTAATTAGGTATTTATATAGAGGTTAAATAGATGAGAGGAAATGCCCAATTAAAAAGGAAATAAAAAGAAAAGGGAATAGAGATGGTTTAATTTAATAAAACCGGAATTAGGAATTGGTAACATCCGATATTTGGTTAACCAAAAGTCGGGATGTTACAGATATAGAGTGAACTAAAACAATTATGTCTCTTTAAACTATTAATTCGAACTATAGTTCTTAAAATGTAAGATTTCGATCATAACATACTTCTTTCCCCTCCCCCACCCCAAAAAAGTGGTCAACCAAACTTGAAATGGATATGTTTTCGGATCAGGTATTGATTTTGGATCAAGTTGCTTATTTTATAAAAGGGATCGGCTTTATAACATGATTCCCCAATGTGAATGCTATTTGCTATACCATGTGAAAGTTTATAAACTTTTATCTATTAAGAATGACAATTTGCTTTAAGTTTCTCATACATGCATGCACTAGATTGGACATGTATTTCTTTCCAATTTATATAATTCATAGCACATAAATGAAAATTGACTTAATTAGTGGTAAGTAGTAACCAGTATATGTAAATAAACTAACAAGTGTGTAAACAGCTACATATGTACTTACAACATTTGAGTTTGTAAACTTTAACGTGGGAATCGGAAGTGACTGTGAGGCTTTTGCATGAATCATGCATGGGGGGCAATATGAAATTATTATTTACCACGTCATCAACACCTTATATTTGTTTCATTCGCAAAAACGCGTTTTCACGTATTTCAATGTCTCATCCTCATCACTTCCCTTACACTGTCCCCTCCGACCCATTCTTATTTTTCTCCTTTTTAATATCAAAACTAATTGATTCATTTGCACATGTCTCTGTTTTTCCTTTTTAAACAACCCATCAAATAGTTAAGGTCTTTACATATGTCTTGTGTTCTTTTTTTTTGTGTGTTCAAACATAGGTCTTGTAACTTCAATATATCGGAGTGAATTTTGTTAGCTTCTTATTATCTGTCGAGTTTACTAAAATAGAAGCTAACAGCTAATTGTATATTTTAATGTAATTTATTTTCATAATGCAATTTATCAACTTATTTTCACCCTCGAATTTTTTAGCACAGTATAAAAGCATCTACTGTATTTATTTAATACTCGTATTTTATAATGTTTATTTATCACTAGAGAAAGTCGTGGTGATTTTCAATTGTCTCTTACATATTTTTTCTTATAACATGTCTCTTACAGCTTTTTTTAAAAAAACATTGTCTATTACAACTTGTCGCATGCCGCTTTCAACGCAAGTTCCTAGTATTATCAAGCGCAGAATCTTGGTCTTGCGATGTCAAATAAAAATATAATAAACCACTTAATCTCTTTACGGATGCCAATAAAATCCACTTATATTCCGTATACCAAAGAAACTCAGAATCTTTATCTATACAGACAATTACAAGGATGAAATTTGTAAACGTATATATTTGTTAGTGAATCTAAAATCTATTTTTCTCTGTCTCAATCAACTTCTTCTATATTTACTGTTTGTTTTTCACTTCCTGGCTTCCTACGTGAATAATTCAACTGAAATGAATACGAGAGACATATGTTACTTTTATGCAAGTACACATATGGCACCAGCACCACTGTAATTTTCATCAGTAATTTCCATATAAAATTATTAGATTTTTTGGTAAGAAGAGAATTTACGCTAGCTAGCCGAGATTATTACGCCCACGAAATTAATATTTATACGAGGGGAAATATATATATCTCCCTGATAAATGTATACTGTATATAGCTAGCAGGAATCTGATTACGTGAAGAAAGCTATCTTGAATTAGTTAATTATAATCTATACGTATATATATGGGTGTGTGTGTCAGACTCAGTGTGTATGTTTAAATGATATGGGTTAGAAAATTCAATTTCAGGATACAAACCAAACAATTAACTTTGTGTTCATGATGTAAAGAGGAGAAGTGGACCCATAAAAAAACAGATGGACCAATCTTTTACATAGCTCTTCTCATTATGCCTATGATTTTATTGGTCAATTATTGGGGTCATCAAATTTACGGATCTGCATAATTCATTCAACATGCTTGATTAAGGTTTAGTATCATTTATGTAAAAAGAACAAATAATTGACAAATACCACAAAAACATATTTAATTTCAGATATTCCACACTCATTTTCTCTTTCTCAAATGTATCACTTCTTAACACGTAAAAAAAAATATTTTTAAAATAACATTTTGTTATATTTGAACAGTGAAAACATATATTTTGATTATCTGAAAAAATGCTATTTGTAAAACTTATAAATAAAAATGAGCCAGAACACAATATTTTGGATAACCAGTAAACTTATAAATGTATATAAATTCGACAGTATTAGTTGTACAATACTTATAGGATACTTATATAGTCTCGATCATTGACAATTAACAATTATGAGAAGCTGCTAACACATCTATATCAGCAATTGAATATAAACTTTTCTTCAGTTATTTTGACCTTCCATCCCTCAGGTTGGTGTCAAGTATGTACATATGCTATTATTGCGGTGTTCTTAAAGTAGAATTCGTAGCTATATATATATATATATATATATATATATATAGAATAGAAGATCGACTAGTGATGATATATACGACTCACGTGCGTTCAAGAGGTCCAAAGTTCAGACCTAAGAAATTTATAATCTCGTTCTAAGCAACAAAAATATAAATATGTACAAGAATGTGCAAAAAAGTATGGTGTAACTTTAAGTTCGAGTCATCAATCCATGAAACTGCTTAATTAAGCGTCAATGAGAGTTAAATTTGCTTTCTTTCTGTCAAAAACTTCATATCTTCCTAATTCATATTTTATCAAATTTGCAATCTGAAACGAGCATCACTTGGAAAACATGCAAAACAAGTTTCCTAGAAACATAAGGGTTTTTTAATCACTTCAAATGTATCGGCAAAATGGTTACATGAAATTTTTTTTTTTTACACAAACTAAACTCTTGAAATTTAATAACAGCAATCTGATCAACTCAGCGTTGTTAATTTAATCCAAATTTGAAAATTAGTACTATGTAAAGATTTTTAAATGAATTTTAGAAAATATATATTTAAAACAACATCCAAAAAGATATATAGATCAAAAAAATTTAGACGAAGAAACTATTCCAACGAAACATCACAAAATGATGAAATATTATATGCACAATGCATTACATCACGAATAGTTTTCATTTGCTATCTTATCTAAGATCTCATAATCTTTCAAAAAGGATTACTAATGTTTTTTTTTCTTGGCTAAAAAAGGATTACTAAGGTATCTTTAGGTAATTTGGAAACAAATATAGAAATTATAAAATATACTACAAAAAATATGATTTAAGCTTACTGTATTTGCCACTTTATAATAATTGATCAGAAAATATATTTTAACTAAGAAAAAGAAGTAAATAGAGACATTGAAGTTATTAATAACATCAACTTAGTGCGAAGTGGGTAAGGCCATCTCCAACCATAACAATCAAATTTGGTGTTGTGAATAGTGTAAAATTTGGTGTAAAAGTGAATAGTATTTTTTTTCATCTCCAACCACAACACCAAATCTTATCCTAAAAATAATATTTTATATTATTATATTATTAAATTTATTTTTTTTTATTTTTTAATAGTTTTAGTGAATATTAATTATTCATATAACATTACAGATGATAAAAAATTGTTTAAAATTATATTATGTCTTTAAAATTATCTTGTTATATTTTGTTTTTCTTTTTATATTTTTTTTTTGCTTTATTTCAGTAATTTTGTGTTGAAATTTTTCATTGAAATTTATTATGTATTTTAAATTTTTATCTATTTACATATTAACAAGATATTTTGTGCAATTCTAAATTACAAGAATTGATCTTACACTCCTAAACCAACATAACTTAATTAACTAATAAACCATAATAAAACTATATGAGTAAATGAAAAGAAAATAATATTTTAATATTTGGTGTTGTGAATAGTGTTATACCAAATTTGGTGAAACACTGTTCACAAAACACCAAAAAAAATATTTTGGTGTTAGATTTGGTGCATTATTAGAGAAGAATCAACACCAAATTTAATATTTTGGTGCATGGTTGGAGATGGTCTAAAGCTAATGGCACCCAAAAATGCTTTCATCCCAAAATGTTTAGGGTTCAGTGTCCTTGACACCTTGTAAACAGTAATAGCATGTTATAGGAGCTAAAATGGGTCCCAAGCTGTATATTTTCCTATTAAATCATACAAAAATAAACAAATCTGAATGTCTTTCTGGTTAGTCATTAGAAAAAAATGCAATATTGATTTTACGGGAGGAAGAAAGTCAAGAGACGCCAGCGATGGCGTCACCTTTTAAAACTATGTAATCATGACGGTATCATGACGATTCGCGTCTAGTTCTAAAATTTTATATTATTAATATATAGTCTAAGTAAAATAATCAAAAGTGAAAGAAAATAAGTAAAGTAAAAAAAGAATTAGTGGGGGCACGTGAGAATGTTGACTTGAAGAAGCGGTCGTGTCAAATGCATTGCGCCCAAAGTTACTTCATCAATTCCAAGACACTGCCACTCTTGATGCCCAAGTTTCCCTCGCCTAAAAAACAATTAAGATTCCGTTTCTTTTTTTCTTATTCTTTAATAATAAAGATCTTATTTTTTTGTAATCATAATAGTTTAGTTGACTGATCGAGACCATGAATTAATATACTAAATGAAAAACTGAATGCACCGGTTATTGTTCCTTCCTTTAAATTATTTTTGAAAATCATTTTTTTTTATCTTGGTCCATTTGTTGATGAATTTCTTATCTAACTAATAAGATTATATATATATAGATTAAGCCTTAGCATATGCAAAAATATACTGGAAATTTGAAAGTTTTTAAAATTTTGTCTACTTAATGTTATGGATGTCTGGATAGGAAATAGTAGGACCATTTAATTTGAGCATTTTTCAAATATCAAATGTATGAGCTTTAACGAGCGTTTTTAAGATGGTTTTTAAAGATTTTTGTGATTGAATTAAATTAAAATAGATTAAAAAAGATAGACCTATCTTAAACAAACGACGTAAGAGACGTCTTTAAATGTTAAGTGGCATGTGTGTATTGGTTTAAAATTTTGGGGAAAAGGAAATGTTTTCTATCTTCTTTCATTTCATTTTCTTTCTCCTATTGCATCTCTAAAGTTTCAGATTTTTAGATTAGATATCTACTAATAAAACAACCTATTTTAATAATAAAGAAAATAATAAAAGACCCATAAAAGTCTCTTCATGCTCTAATACAATTTGGGCCCAATTGTAAGGATTAGACTTATCAGGGGGTGACTGAATCTGCTTATGGGTTTTGTCTGAACGTTGGATTGAATCTGAAAGAACTAATTTTGTTTATTGTTAGTCACTCTTCACCAAACCATTCTAAGTTTCTACTGCGGTTGAAGTTCCTGCAATAAACGTTGTTATGCGAGAATGAAGTAACACAATACTGTTTTTGGATTATAATCTTTATATCTAGTAAATTATCTTTATATCTAGTAAATTCCGAAAAACAGTAATGTACAAATGCTGCGAGAGAGCTCACGTGAAAGAGTTTACACTAATTTTACAGACTTTGTTTATGATACAGATTCCAAATCAAGATCAAAAACCTTGACATGGCAGAGATCTCCTCCTGCATCATCTGCAAATCTAATCTTCTTTGTCTTCTGAACAATGTTTTCAGTAGCTGGAGAATCTTCTCTGACCATACCCTGTGAAAAAGGAAGGGAATGCCGAAAAAGTTAGAAAGGAAGACAAATAATTCAGGTAACGTTTTGTGTTTGTGAATGTTAGGGAGTGTAAAACAAACCATGAGTTTGCAAAACCGATTACAGTCACGTTCGATCATGGAAAGCCATTTCTTGCTACTCTGTTCAGTTTTTTCTGCATTTCCAATCAAAGCTTTCACCTGACAAGAGACATCAAGAAATAAGATTAAGAGAAAGTGAAGATTTTCGACATTGAGAACCAAAATTCAATTGCTTTTATAGACAGAAGTACCTCATCCAAGTCACAGTCAGACATGTTGGAGGGGTTGCCTTCAGCTAGGAGACATCTCTTTGTAATTTGTCTCATCGATTTAAGCTCTTTTGTGAGCTTAGCTGCAACAAATTGAAAATCACGCACTTGCCCTTGAGAGAAGGTAATAGCTTTCTGTGTGCAACCTTGTAACGAGGTACGTCCAGTGCTAAAAGGCTGTGGTTTTGCTGCCTGAGTTTCACGACGAGGAGACTTGTGTGTGGCTCTTTGATACTGCGTTTGCCGAGTATTATTGTTTGCTTTTCGAATGGCTTGCTTTGAATTTGAAATGACTTCCACTCGGTCGATGCTGTCCAGCCCTTGAGCCTTAAGGATCCTATGTGCGTTTAGGCTACTGAAGTAGAGTTTCCCTTTGGATTCTGGATTTTGGTTTTGTAAAAATAGATGAGAATCTAAAGTGTCATAATGTAAAAGATACAAATAAAAGACTTTCAAGAATTTGTCATTGACTTACTTGTACACCGCTTCTCAGGTGTATCAGGGTGCTCCATTGCCTTGCGAAGTTTTGCTTGAGAGGTGGGAGATAAAGCCTGAAACCCAAATGTCTATTAGTGAGGAACTGCTTAAACATAAAAATGTGATTTGAAAAAGTAACACACCAGACAAACCTTTCTGCCTGAAAGTAGTTTTTCAGGTTGAGAATGTAGCTCTTGTTGCTGGATACTGTCAGTCTCTTCAGCTGTTTTAACCTCTTCAGGTGCCTGAAAGAGTTGTGATGATTTGTAGTCTTCTGCTTCATCTACATTCCCTGAGGATGAAGATTGTTGTAATCTTTCTGGCAGATGATCTTCTTCTAATGAAACTGGGCTGTCATCAGAAACTAAATGCAAATTTTCCAGTGAATTACAACAGCTGGTCAGCTGGAGAATATCAGTGGCTTCAGGAAACTCATCCTTTGCAATGTCTTCATTTTCCCACACAATCTGGGTATCCTCAACCCCAAATTCCATGGGAAGCAAACCTGAGTAATCAGTAGCAAGTATTTCTGGAGCTTCTATCTTCACAATCTCCAAACCAGTTATGGCCATGTCTAAGTTAGGCTTTGAATAATTGCTTTCCTCATCCTCTATAACTTCATCGGTCCCCGAGCTAGTATTAGAATAAATGAGATTCTTGACACCACCAATGGTCTCAGATTCTGAACTTTGTGGAGTCTCCAATTTAATCGCTTCTCTAGATACACTACCGCACAAAACATTTTCCTGATTCTCAATAGCAAGGTTATCAACAAGGCAGCATCGAGCTTTCCTTGCTTTGATAAACTCTTCTGATGCATCCTCAAAATCTTTGTCCACCGGGTTTGTAGTTATGAGCTCTTCAGTGGTTACCATTCCAGGAAAATTTGGCGCTGAAGTGCAATATAGAGCCAGTGTTGTGTCCTTGGGCAAATCATGAATAATCTCTTCCACCAACTCTGTATTTGAAGTAGATTCTGGCTCTTTATTACAAACTAGTAAAGGGTCTGTGGGAATAAAATCCATGGCTTCAGGAACTGAATAGCTATCATCCCAAGTCTCGGGCTTGACATCATGAAAGACAGGCAACAAATCAACCTTTTTAGCAGATGGAGAGGAAGTAGAACTACACTTTGTTTTACCCTCTTGCTTTTTCTTTCTTCTCTTGGAGAATTTCGTATTCCAACTGCTAAGAGGCTCCTCAAGATCACATCCTTCATCTTCAGTCAAAGACTCTTGTTTAACTTTAACCTGTGAGGCGGTCACAGCATCTCCACGGTTCCTAAGTTTCCTCTTCTTTTCTTTGCATTGTTTCCGAATCTTCTCCAGCGTCAGGCTGAAATCTTCTGGCTCAGTTTTGATATCCGCCTCAGCGACAAACATAACAGAACCTTGTGTCATGTCAGAAACATTGTCCAAATCCCTGACTACTATTGGGATTGACTCATCATCTTCGGTGTTTCCCTGATTGTATACATCCACCAACTGTCTAAATTTGAGCTTTGATTTCCCTTTAGCAACCACATTCAGCAATATCTTGATTGATCCGTCTGTAATGGTCCGGATAGAATGCAATTGGGAATGCAAATGGGTGCGACTTCGTAACTCCACCATTGTAACTAGCAGACAATTACTTTAACTGATTTAAGCTCCCAAAAACCGAAATTTACACCAAATCGAGCTCCTGAATTTGAACAAACAAAAAAAATCGTCGGTAAGAATACAAAAAATCTACAGTTCAGTATGGATTCAGTGGTAATCAACATGCCTAAAATCCTCAGTTTCAGATAAACGAAAATCAACTAGCTGTGGCCAATTTTTTTGTACAAAATAGTGTTCAATCTGATTGAAAAAAAAAATCACTAGAGTAACAAATTTTGAGTTCAAGGATGCAGCGATTCGTCTAGGAGGTTCCAATATAACTAAAAATTGAAATCAGAACTCTTTTCATGGAAGATTAATTGCAGAAATCTGACCTCCTAACAGATCTAATTATTAAGTTATAAAGGAAATGCAATTAAAAATAAAAATCCACAAATGAGCAGGCGAAAACCCTTATTCGCCACAACGAGCTCGTAGCTGCCTCAATTCGAGAAAGATAAATGCAAATCCAGGTAGAGTAGATGCATGCATCAAAGAGAAATCGAAATATAGACCTGAAAGATGAACATTGAAGTTTACCTTGATGCTTAATTAGACTGAGGAGGAAATGAAGGCCGGAACCTGGGCTTCCAATTCGTAACTCGCCAATCTAGGGTTTAAACATGAGCAAGAGAGAGAGAAAGTAATTTAAAACAAGATGAAGAAGAAGAGAGGGAAAATTAGAGCTCTTGGTAATAAGAAAGGAGATAGAGAGAGAAGGCTACTTTATGAGCCGTCAAGGGTCGCGGGAAATACTTGGCGGGAAGCTATATACGTTATTCTTGTCCCCTCTTTTGACCTTTTTCTTACCATTTTTTTCTTTCTTTCGCATATTTTCGTAAATGGGTCTTTGAACCTAAAGCCCAATAATAATTAATAATGGGCTTATATACTGTTAGTAGTCAAGGGTAAATGTGTAAATTCAATTAGATAGGACCTGGGGTCCATTCGTATAGCAAGTTAGCAACGTAGCGGCGTATTGTAGATAAGAAAGGGGGAATCTGCTTCTTTTAGGAGAAACCAAAGAGAACTTTTGAAACCCTAAACTCCATAGACTATCTTCCCGTCGACATTAAAGCCGCCGATTTCCGCCATGACGAAGAAGAGAAAGCTCGAAACACAATCCAGCGAGGCGTCTGAACCTTCGCAGAAGCAGAAGCAGACGGAGGAGCAGCAGCTTGAAATTAAAAGTCAGGTTAATAATCAAGCTGGCGGCGAGGAAGAAGTTGAATACGAGGAAGTAGAGGAGGAGCATGAGGAGGAAGTCGAAGATGATGACGATGATGACGATGAGGATGAAGACGATGTCGGAGGTGAGAATCAGACGGCGGGCAATCGTACAGAGGCGGCGACGTCTGGATCTGGGAATCAGGGGGTTGCAGATACCGATGATGACGAGCCGATTAAGGATTTGTTGGAACCATTTTCCAAGGAGCAGCTTCTGAATCTTCTTAAAGAAGCGGCGGGGAAGCATCTTGATGTAGCGAATCGAATCCGGGAAGTAGCCGATGAGGATCCTGTTCATCGGAAGATATTCGTGCACGGGCTTGGATGGGACACGAAAACAGAGACTCTTATTGAAGCTTTTAAGCAGTACGGAGAGATCGAAGACTGCAAGGCCGTTTTTGATAAGGTCTCAGGGAAATCTAAAGGATATGGGTTTATTCTGTACAAGTCTAGGTCAGGTGCTCGCAACGCACTTAAGCAGCCTCAGAAGAAGATCGGTAGCCGAATGACGGCGTGTCAGTTGGCTTCAAAAGGTCCTGTCTTTGGCGGAAACCCTGTCGCTGCAGCTGCCTCGGTGGTCCCTGCTCAGCATTCGAACTCGGAGCACACACAGAAGAAGATCTATGTCAGTAATGTAGGAGCAGAGCTCGATCCTCAGAAACTGCTGGCGTTTTTCTCAAGGTTCGGAGAGATTGAAGAAGGTCCTTTGGGTCTTGATAAGTTTACTGGGAGACCTAAAGGTTTCTGCCTCTTTGTCTATAAGTCGCCTGAAAGCGCCAAGAGGGCTCTAGAGGAGCCACACAAGACCTTCGAGGGCCATATCTTGCATTGCCAGAAAGCAATCGATGGTCCTAAACCGGGCAAGCCGCAACAATACAACACTCACAACCACAACAATCCTCGTTTCCAGAGGAATGATAACAACGGTTACGGTGCCCCTGGAGGTCATGGGCATCTCATGGCTGGTAACCAAGCCGGGATGGGTGCTCCAGCGCAGGCGCTAAACCCAGCTATTGGACAGGCCTTGACAGCTTTGCTGGCATCGCAGGGAGCTGGTTTGGCTTTTAACCCAGCAATTGGTCAGGCTTTGTTGGGTTCCCTTGGGACAGCTACAGGCGTAAACCCGGGGGCTGGAGCTGGAATGCCATCTGGTTATGCTACTCAAGCTATGGCACCAGGGACGATCCCTGGGTATGGTACACAACCTGGTTTGCAAGGTGGCTATCAGACTCCGCAACCTGGTCAGGGTGGTTCAGGCAGAGGGCAACATGGTGTCAACCAATACTCTCCGTACATGGGCCACTAGATGTATTATGATGTATCCACTCAGGTAGAGCAATGAATATCGTCTCTTCACTTATTTCATTGACTTTCCTCATTACGTACTTACCTGGAACTGACTTCCTATGTCTAAAGACAAGGGCTTTCTGTGTTGAGACCCACACACGGTTTGACTCTTGTCTGATTTTGGTTTGCATCAGAGTTTTGGGGACTTTTGGGGGTTGTCACATGATACAAAGAAGTTACTTTTGCAATTCTTAAGTACAAACTGTTTTCTAAAGGGTTTTTTTTTTTTCAGTTTTTCACGATTTTTAGATTGTGAAAAACCTTCTCTTATTTTCTCAAATTCATTGTGCAGATATCCGAAATCAGTGTTTTAATATTGGCCTGGTGATTCTTCTGAAGTTTAAAAGGAGCTGATGCAAATGAAGTCTTTATGAAATGTTACTCTTTGGTCGCTCATAAGGCCAGACTCATAAAACCTTTTAAGGAGTTTTAGTTTTCGTCTACTTTGTTTTTTTTTTCACCAACTACTCTCTTTATGCTATTCCTAAAAAACATTGTACTATTTTCAGAGTTCATGTCTCTATTTTTCAGTTTTCTGAAACATCCCCTTTAGAACTATCGTTTGTAAAACTAAAAAAACATAACTATGCTCCTTGTGGGTCTTTGCTTATCGAATTCTAGTTTTTCCAAGCTTTATAAATAGTTTTATTCGATCTCTCTGCTTCACGTTTTCATGGATTTTTCTGCCTGCAGTATATCAATCTCGAATATTTTGTAATATGCTATGAATTACTTGATTAACGTAACAGTATATATATCAGTCTCGAATATTTTGTTATATGTCTTGGGTTCTTAGGGACGACACGGTTATTGTTAGGTGGTTCGAGGCCAAGGCATATCCCTCTCCTGTCTAGTTCAGAGACGAGGCCTATCCGTCTCAATCAAGTAGCTAACTTAACGGATCAGTGAAGAAGAGACAGGAAAGTTTATTGTACCAGGTTTGACAAGTCAGGGGTGCCTTCCTGGGGTGAAATTTTCTTTCTTCTCAGGCCACCACGTTCTCACCTGTCCAGTTTGGAAGGTGAAGCTGCTGCGCTTGTATGGGCAATAACTGTCTTCGAGCAGCCTGGTTTGGTTCGAGAATTATTCCAAGGTCTTGATCAGGCTGTAAAAGATCTCACCACATGGCCAAGACTAGAAAGCTTCACAAGAGATATATGGGAGCGATGGAGAACTTTGAGACATTGTGGCCTGACAGGTGAGAAGGAGGTCAATAATGCAAAGTGATCAAGGCAGAAGAAGGCTGTTTTGGCAATAGGATTAGCGCTGATCCTATTGCCAAAACAGCCTCTTCTTCCTTGTTTACTTTGATTTATTGGATTGTTGTATCTCATTTTGGCTGAGTTCAAGGGTTGAAAGGGAAATACCTATCTTTGTTCTTCCCAAGTTTTGTTTTCGATTTTGTAAAAAGAAATACAGTCAAGTTTGTTGCCGGTTTGATTTCGACTTACTTCCTCTTAATTGAACAAGAGGCTTCTTGAGCAAAACATATGAATATTGAATAGTGGATAAAAACGGGTTAGTCTGTATTTTTCGTATAATATGGACTAATGTAATCAAGAATTTCACGAGATACCAAACGGGTTAGTCCGTATATATCACATTTTGTAGTGTTGAAGAGTTCAAACTATAAAGCAGACATGTGAGAGATGAGAGAATTATATAAACATTGAAGAAAATCAGATTATGGGTCCCTAAGTAAATGCCACAAAGAAAATATTAAAGGCCAAATTGATTGAAGTCTCTCCGAGCACATTTAGTGATTATTCCGAGAGAATAAACTTGACATCCACCTTCATTAAAGTAATCACTAATCACAATTATTAAATAAAATCTATCGTTTGATCGAAAGAAAGTTTTAGAGAACATCGTTTTTACTTCTCGGGTACTCAAAAAAAAAAGAAACGCATTGAAACTTCCACAGGCTTGGGGGATTTGCCACAGTATCGAGTGTCACTTTCTCAATCAAAAGGTTTCTCTCTCTTCTCCTCTTTCTCTCCTGCGCGAAACAAAAGAGAAAATTAGAAGAGAGAGAGAGACACACAGAGTTTAGGTTTGCTATGTAAATCTTTCTCTCTCTCTGCACTACCAGAGTTTTGTTCCTCTTTTTCTCTCACACCCACCACTTCGAGAAAGAAAAACCCAAATGCCCCTAATTTAGATCTGGTCCTTTTTAAGCTCCAAATTCGTTACCCCTTTTTCCAAAGATTGTTTCTTTTTCTTAGTTTTTAGATTCCCCTTGTTCTCTAATCACTTCCTCGCAATCGTTTCTTTATCACTCTGTTGCGATTTCCATGTTTAGTATCTGCATTTGATAGCCCCCGATGCTGCATGCAATTCCCAAGACTCTCTCAGATTGCTATAACGCGGTGATTTCTTCTCAGCTATTTCTTTCCAATTTAGTATCTGGGTTTTATTGTTTCTCTGCTGCATGTTTGGCGACTCCACCTGAGGAAAAAGGGTTACTTTTGCATTGGATTTAGGCTCTATTTGATGAATTCGTCGTGGTCTAGCCATTTATCAAATTGAGCATCACTCGGTTGGTGTTGAGATTAGGGTTTCTGATTTGTAGCCTCAGGATTGTTTAATCTGTCTGTGTTGGGTTTTTCTTCATTTCGTACAAAGCTTATGGATTCTCAGAGGGGTATTGTTGAAGAACCTAAATCTCAGTCCTTGAATAGGCAAGGCTCTCTCTATAGCTTAACACTCGATGAGGTCCAAAACCACTTGGGGAGTTCTGGTAAAGCACTTGGAAGCATGAACCTTGACGAGCTACTCAAAAGTGTCTGTTCTGTTGAAGGTAATCAGCCATCGTCCATGACTGTCAATGGTGCTGCAGCTGCTCAGGAAGGTCTTTCTCGACAAGGAAGTTTGACTTTGCCACGGGATCTAAGCAAAAAGACTGTTGATGAAGTCTGGAAAGATATTCAGCAGAACAAAAATGGAGGTAATGCTCATGAGAGGAGAGATAAGCAGCCTACGCTCGGCGAAATGACTCTTGAAGACTTGTTGTTGAAAGCTGGAGTTGTGACTGAGACAATCCCTGGTTCGAACCAAGACGGTCCTGGTGGTGGTCCAGGTTGTGGTCCAGGTGGTGTTAGTGCTGGTTCAGGTGCTGGTTTAGGGCAAAACATAACTCAGGTCGGCCCATGGGTTCAGTATCATCAGCTCCCATCAATGCCACAGCCTCAAGCATTCATGCCATATCCGGTTTCAGATATGCAAGCAATGGTGTCTCAGTCTTCTTTGATGGGTGGTTTGTCAGATACACAAACTCCAGGAAGGAAGAGGGTAGCTTCAGGAGAAGTTGTAGAGAAGACTGTAGAGAGGAGGCAGAAGCGAATGATAAAGAATAGAGAGTCTGCAGCTCGTTCACGAGCTAGGAAACAGGTGAGAGAAACTACTTCTTTAACTGAAAATATGTTGCTGTTAAGAGAATTGTCAAGTATTGCCTCCTCTCTTTTTTTTTTTTGTTCTGTTTGGGGTCTAAGTTTCGGTTTTAATGAACAGGCTTACACTCATGAGCTAGAGATCAAAGTTTCCCGGTTAGAAGAAGAAAACGAGAGACTGAGGAGGCAAAAGGTAATGTTTGGCAGCCTTGGCCCTTTTGGTTTTACACGTATTGGTTGTGGGTTGTCGCTATTAAAATTGAAGGTTTGGTCATTAGTTGTGAGAACTGTCATGTATTAAGTTCTCGATTCGTAATAGAGGGAATGATACATAGGGTGAATAAAGAATAGAATAGGGCACAAGCATAGTAGACAATAGATGATAAACAAAGAAACAACAAACGAGAGTTGGATTTACTGGTTAAGTCTTTGTTGTTTCATTGCTTCTTGTAATGGTTGTTTGGGTCATTAGGAAAAAATCTTCATCTGCTTGCGACGAAGTTGGATTTGCTGGTTTATACTCGCCTTAGACTTTATAGCAAAATCTTACATTGTCTGGTTGGTTTTTTATATACTTTGCAGGAGGTAGAGAAGATCCTCCCTAGCGCACCACCGCCTGATCCCAAGCGGCAGCTCAGGCGAACAAGCTCGGCTCCTTTCTGATCTCAAAAGCCTTTTTCTTTTTTTCCCTTCTGTGTCGGTTTGCTTATAAAAAAAAAAGAGAGAGGAAAACTGCTTTGTTTCTTTGTACATTCCGTAGACTGTCTTGACTTGGAGCAATTCTGTTAACTTTCTTTAAAACTTTCGGAGTTATTTTAGTAACAGCAGAATCGTTTTCTTGAGTTGATAATTTAGAGGTCGAACAGAAGATGAAAGCTTGAGTTTTTAACATTTCAATACAACAGTACTTTAGCAAGGTCGTCAAAAATTATAGACAGTCTATAAAAATTTTCACACAGAAAGGAAACTGTTTGAACTTGCTAAGCGTTCCACTTTTGGGCCAGCTTTAACCTCAAACGTGGAAATGATCTTAAATTCATCTTACGAACCTGTTTGCTATATGTTCTGCAATAGCCAAGCTTGAAGTTAAACCAGGCGATTCGATGCCAAAGAGATTCACAAGACCAGGAACTCCATGAGTCTCCTCTCCCTGCATCAACAACGCATAAGAGACTTCCACAGAAATGTGTGATATGTCTGATGCTTTTCAAAAAAAAAAAGATTACCTGTATGACAAAATCTGCGGGAGGCTGTTTTGGGCCGGAAAGCTTAGGACGGATGCCTGAATAACCAGGTTCCAATGATCCATCTTTGAGATCCGGATAGTACTTTCTGATCTCTGGGTAGAATTTCTCCGCTCGTTGTGGGTTTACACGATAATCAAACCTGGATTCAAAACAGTCTGAAGATCTTGAGTAACTTCAAGTGGACGAGAAAAAGGAGAATTTCAAGAACAGAAGCAAATGTTTACTTGTTAAGGAAGCTTGATTGATCGTCTGCGCATTCAATCCATTCTACATCGGGACCAAACTTGACAAGACCGTTCAAATCAACAGTGACATGGACACCGAGACCTCCTTCCTCAGGTATAGGATACACAAGCTTATTGAAAGGTGGAGACTTTGTGCCTGATAGCGTAAAGTAGCATCCACGAGCATAGTGAGAGGAGGGAATGAATTGATGATCTAAGCCATGGAATCTCTTTGCTAGAGCTTGAGCACCTAATCCCGCAGAGTTAACAACGAGATCAGGGATTAGCTCAAGCTGTGCCTCTGCCTCACACCGAGATTCAAATGATCCGGTTTCAGCAACGAACAAATGCATCTTCTTTTCTTCAACACGACCGTTTAAAACCACTGTATTGTACGAGAAAGTTGCGTGACTGTTCTCTGCTTCTCCCTGTAGTCTCAAGTTTTTGTTATCCCTGTAAACCATGAAATCAAAACTCTTTTCCTAGAGAAAACAGCGGGAACTCAAAGATCCTTATGAGAGAGAAGTTTATGTAATACCACTAAAGATAGCATCAAGGCATGTGTATCAAGAATCCCAGACTCAGGAGATAGCAATGCTTTAACACACCGAAGCTGCGGCTCCATTCTCATTGCTTCAAAACCTTCCAACATCCTTAGACCCGAGACTCCATTCTGAGTTCCAAGATGCATCAATAGATCCAGTTTCGGTATCTCAGAGGATCCTGTGGCAACGATTAGCTTACCAATCTTCCTGTGAGGGATTTCATGTTCTGAGCAATACCTGTAGAGCAATTCCCTTCCTCTTACACAAAACTTGGCCTGTCAAATCCAAAGATAACATACTGAATCATAGGAAATTTTGGAATTTGATTCGACCCTCAAGAGAAAGATTATACCTTTAGAGAGTTTGGTGGATAATAGATTCCGGCGTGGACGACCTCGCTGTTTCGAGAACTCGTCACGGTGCCGAACGACGAGGCGGCGTCGAGGATCAGCACCTCTCTTCCGCGGAGACTGAGCTCACGCGCCACCGCTAAACCCACGACTCCGGCACCGATCACGACGGTGTCAACTCTCTCTTTAGCTATCGTTTCCAATCCAGCGCTTAATCCTCTCGCGATTCTTCCTCTGCTGCTACTTGCGTCCCCGTTGACCAGTTTCCAGGTTGGTTTTGGATTACCCGTCGGCAATCTCGTCCATTTTCTACCCAGACAAGCAAGCATCCTCTTCAAATCACAAATTATCGTAGCCTTCTGATAAATTTTGCAGAAAAATATTCAACGCGGTTGCTCAGTACCACATACAGTATACAATTGCATACTAATGATGATAGGATTTTAAGGCTTTGCGTTTTGCAGCCCAAACCGTACTTGTCTGAACTGGAACTCAACTAAATGACGCCGTTTCAATTCAGCTGTTGAGGCACCTCTTCTTCTTCCTCCTCTTCTTTTCTTCCCTTTTTTTTGTTCACTTGTTCTCCTTCACTCATAACCATGGCTAACTGGTACCATTTTTCTCGTTTCTTTCTACAGTTTTAATTCGTAATCGTTCTTGAATTTTAATTCCTTATCAGTAGACAGTCGAAAGGAGTCATTTTGGGCTTGTTTTAGAGTAATAGGCGTGGAGGAACTTCCGGATTTGACCGAAATTAGGTTTTTTTTAGCTAAATTATGAAAGTATTTGATGGCACCTCTCGATATGTTGAGCCTCTGTTGTTCTTGAATCCAGTTTCGGTTTTCTTGTTCTTTCTCCAGTCTATGGTTTTAACCGTCTTTCTGAAAGTTTATTAATAGAATTCCAATTACTTGAATTGTAAAGCTAGCTCTTTGTCAGCTTCTAGTTGAAACCACAAAAGCTCGTTCTCTTGACAAGGTTGCTATTGATGTTTGATTGGATTGTGAAATTGATATGCTGAAACTTTGTGGTCTAGGAAGTAGCTGCATCTGGGTCAGAAGACCAACTTTTCTTCTAGCTGTTTCATGGGATTTGCCATCACCGTGATATTACCTAATTGTGGAAGTAAGTTCTTGCCAAAGAGGAGTTTCAGAGACAAAAGTGCTTTCTCTCTTGCCATTTGCTTGGAGTTCTGTTCTCTCTGTCATTTCCTTCATCCTGCACAGCCTTTATCGGTCAGGCATCAAAGGCAAGTTTTTTACTTTGGAAGCTTCCATGTTGTGTGGTTTTGTAATATAATGATCTGCTGGAAATACAATGAGGATTTTAATAATGGAGCTCATGTCATTCCTTCTTATAAACCCGCATCCCAGACAAAACATAAATATCTCTTAAGAGACCAAAACCAGCCACTAACCCATGGGTATATCAGAGTAAACTATATCTAAGCCATGATTTGTTACTTTATTGTACAAGGAGTAGTAAGGTCCTTAAGTTTCCTAGCCTATTGCTTGTATCAAAGTCCTGTGGAAAAGCACACTCCAACTGGTCGATTCTTGTGTCTTGAAAGAAGATCTTTGATGAATTCATCTTTCCATTATCCAGTTTTTAAGTGTGTCTTTTGCATTTTTCCAGGAGAATGTCATGGACAACAATCAGAAGCTCGGTTGGTGGGGGCAGATTCGATCCACCATCCGGTTCTTCAGGTAATAAAAGCTCTAGACGTCCAAGACTAATCAAAGCCATACAAGATCTCAGAACTAAACTTCTGGTGAAAGTTGAGGAGATAAAGAAAGATCTCCCCATGAAAATGTTGTTTCTCTTAGTGGGATTCTACTCTGCAACTGCATTCTCTACATTTATAGGACAAACAGGAGACTGGGATGTTCTATCTGCTGCATTGGCTGTAATTGTAGTCGAATGCATTGGAGCTTTAATGTACAGAGCATCCGTTCCATTAATCAACAAGATGCGGAGCATAATCACCATGTTTAACTATTGGAAGACCGGACTCGCCCTTGGACTGTTCCTAGACTCATTCAAGTATGAAAAGTTTAGACAAAATATTATCAGTTTTACAATAATCTTTACGCTCTTGTGTTGATTCCAACGAATGAAGTGTGAAAACTCTTTTGGCTGGACACAGGTTTTAGCTCAGACCTCGGAAAGCAACAACAGCTGCCTGGGTCAAGAATGGCGTGGTAAGAAGAATTTGACAAGTTGTGTGTCCCCTTTATTGTTATGAAGGCTTTAACGTCGTTCAAGACAAAGGTCTGAACTTTTCAAAGGACTAACTAGAAGACATGGGACCAAACCTTTTGATCTCTACGAAAAGCAAGTCACCACCAAACAATGCTGGAGCCTTGTCTGTATAGCCTTATATTTGATTTTTGAACTGCAAAATTATTGCATTGCACATCGATAAGTTATATAAAAGCATCGATTCCACCTAAAAATCTTCTTCCAGTTGTATTTTTAAAAAGAAAACACTTCCACCTTTCTTCTTAGGAATATAATTTTCCAGCCTAAAACTCATTGATTTTGTTTCTGAGAAACGCAACTCTCAAATTAACAAAGATATATTTCTTAGAAAACCTCATCGAATTCCGATTCTCCTCTCTACACAGAGGCCACTGAGGCTCAAGTAGCACCAGCTCACAATGTCTCTTTCGGGTTTATGTAGTGCTGTAATCAATGACAAAGAATCATAAGAAGCAAGACAAGGCATGTGAGAACTTCTTCAAGTTGCAACGAATCCTTAAAAGTATATTGTTCAAATCCAGGCGATGCTGTCAGAATCTCCGAGAAGAACCAGAGAGCCAAACCCACTGTAAGTATCGACCCTTCAGGCTCACCGACCAAGAAGACATACGGTGATGACTCAACGTCGTATTAATCGTCTTTCATGTAGATGTTTAAGTGTCTTATTTTCACAACATCCCACATCGGTAAGTAAAGAAGCGTTACTCATAAGCCTCGCACTATAAAAAAGAAGCTGAGCCCAACTTCCAAATCATACCTTTCTCGGCCTTTTGGCTAAGATCAAGTGTAGTATCTGTTCTTATCAGTTTAATATCTGATATGTGGGCCATCGGCTCACACGATATTAACTCTATTTTTTAAGGGAGAAGGTCCACCAAGATAGCTTGCTATCTGGGCTTTCACGAGTCGCCCATGCGTTGCACTATTGCACGGGCCTGGCTCAACCCGCCAAATCATCAGTCTTAATTTTTCACATAATTAATTTTGGCTTTTCTAAATTTAAAATCGGTTAATACATAATTATACGCAAATTAATCACTGATTCTGAGATAATTTTATAATGAACTGAGCAAGATAGAAGAGATTCGAACATGGCGAACCCTAGAAGAGTACTAATCGAGAACCAGAGATTGTCACCTCTGATCAATCTACTGAAGAAACCCCTAGCGTTTCCTCTGCTTCTCTCCTTTTTCCTCTTCCTCACATGGATCACCCTCAGGGTACAGCACTCTTCACACTTCTCTTCTTCTTCTTCCCTTCCGAATTCGGCACTAAAGAGTCATCCTGATTTGGAAATCCTCGACGACGACGAAAAGGTTAATCTGGTCCGGTTCGATGCGGCGTCACTTTCTCCTGTCCGAAAAGACGACCGTGGATGGTTGCTTGATCCCGTTATCCTTGCTCGTGATTCTCGGCTCAGTGGTTAGTCTTCTTTTCTGTGCGTGTGATCGATTCCGTTTCGGTGTTCCTACAATAGTTATTCAGGAAGTTGCTAATCAGCAATTCGTATAGTGTTTTTGAGTATGTATGTTGAAACTGAGAAAATCGTTAGGTTAATTTTCATTATCCAGCATCCGTGAAACATAAGGGGAATCTGCGTTTCTCAATATTCTCTTATGTAATTGTATTACGGGGAAAGAAGCATTTAGGTTGATGAAGATGCTGTGTTGGTTTTTGAGTCCATGAACACTTAGTGTTTCAGATGAAAGGAGTGACTGATTTTGTGTTCACAATATGCCATATTATGTGACTGGAGAGTTTATACATAGGAATGGGAAAAAAAACATTGAGCTCTTCTACTCTGTTGTTTTCTATGAAGATTTTACTCTCTGAATGATAATCTTCAGTGTGAGCTGCACAACTTTGTTGGAGATCATTGTGTAATCAAGGTTTTATCTTTTCGCTTGTCTACAGGTGGAGCTGCCTCGTGTCTTTCTATTCATGTTGGGGAAATCCGGCCTGGTAGTTTGAGGGGAAACCACAGACACCATGCCTGTAATGAGACGTTCGTCATATGGGGAGCCAAGACAAAATTCAGGGTAAGTCTCACCATCCACCTCATTGATAGAACATAACTGGAGAATCACATTCTGTTGAAACCTCTGGTATGATATGAAGGAGTGTCTACTTTTGTTTATCTAAATATTAAATGCATCCTTGAATGGTAAAGTGATAAGCCTTGGTAAAGAACAGAAAAGTAGGAGTTCAGAGATTGCCTAATGCCATGCCAGTTTAACTAACCGTGTGTTAACATGTTAGTTGGTCTTTTGATGAGTATAAGTAGATGATTGAACAGATGCATGAGCAGAAAGAACCAAGCTCTCGTTAATCTGACAATCTTTATGGGTATATGGTTCAATATGAATGCTTGCAGCTGGAGAACCACAAGGTCGAAAAAGGTTACGCCGAAGTGTTAATTGGAGATGACGAAGTAGCTGTAGCGGTTAGTCCGAGTGGCACGGCGCATGCTCTTGTTAATGTTGATCCTCTGCGTTCTACTTTCTTCATTGGCTGCCAAGACAGTAATATGCAGAACAGCTCAAATAGCGACTACAAAGTTTGGAAAGATCTATAATCCGAACTTGTTTAGTTTAGATTTCTCTTCTTCATTCAGATTTTCATTGGCCTTTCTGATCCACTTCTTCCTATGTAATCAGCTTTCTCTGGTTTCTTGTATAGAATAGGCTTTTCTTCTTTTTTTGTCAGTCAGTCATACTGTTACTGAGATTATAACCCTGAAACTTTCATTGTTTACGGTTCATTGATATTCATCATGTGTGGATTATAGATTCCTTTAATCTGTGCGAACCTGTTTGTACTTTGTATGTATTCTTTTAAGTCTAACTCACAATGCAAGTATTTCTAGAGAAAACTTGTTGCAATTAGCGCTGCAGTCTTTTTCAATCAAAGCCATAAATTTCGTTTAACATTATAATCTTTTTATGTAATTTCTATTTTAACAATATAGAAACTATAATTATAATTTGATTGATTATAATTAATTTATAAGTTTACGAAAAATGTTAATTTGAGGTATGCTATGTTGTAGCCTAAGACTATAGACTGTACACCGATTAAAATATAAATTTCCATTCAAAAATGCAAATTTATCTCTGGTCTCAAACTAGTAAGTAGTAGGCCATAAATAATAATATCTATCACTTGGTCATACAAAAATATCTACTTCCAATAGAATGGATAAAAAAGACTTAAAAAAGTTTTATCTGTCCAGCATGCACAAAGACATGAATCTTAAAGAACACTCATAATCATGCCCTTTGTTTCTCATAGAGCATTGTGCTAATTTCCTAATGCCTGATTAGGTTTCTAAATTCTTTTGATGAACAAAAGTTTATGTTAGTATATTTTGGAGCACATTAAATATTGTAAAATGGAATGGAAGTAACAATTCGATGCTCAGGCCGTAGCCGTCGTGTATTTTTTGTTATACGTCCATGGTCCCCAAAATTTATAGGTCAATCGTCTGATTTGTGTACAATTTATAGAACATGTTAACAAAAAGTATTTAGTAGACTACTTTTTAACAAAAAGACATTATAATGTCTATAGGTAATGATATATCGCAATTGTAAAAGCCTTAGTATTTCAGTATTTGCCATGTGCCCATGGACCAACCTTAAAGTAAAAAAAAAAGTGAAAAAAAAAATAAAATAAAGAAAAGCAAAACCTAAATCACGAAAAAGGCATAATGTTTTAATTTTACCGTTGGAATAAATAAACAAAACAACATTGAGTAAATGGGAAGTTAAGGTTTTAAATAGAGAAAAAGAAAGAAAGAAGTCAGAAAAAAACATAATAAACAGAGAGGAAGGAGTATGAAGAAGAGTAAACTAGAGAACTTGCTCTCTCCCTCATCTTCATGGCGGGAAAATCAGAATCCTCCTCCGAGGAGAAACTCAAACTCTTCCGCCGTCTCCTCCGGCTGCCTCCCCGGATTCTTCAACCTCTTCCTCTCCACCTTCAACCGCCGGAAATCTATCACCTTGGGATCTAAGAAACGAGAACAGAGAACCGTCGTCTACGCTTCTCCTCCGGGAGATTCATCAAATGGAGACGACGGAGGAATAGTCGCGCCGCCGCTTTCACGCAACGAAGGAGACGGAGATGCGGCGAGGGTGAGTCTGGTCGGAGCGTTAGAGAAATGTGATCGGGACTTAGAGGAACTCCGGAGAACCATTGACGTCATCAAAACCACTTACCTTCTTCACAAGAAAATCGAGGTATCTCAAGCGACGGCGCCGGCGTGTGATAATTTCAAATTCTCTGGCACCGGTAAGTTTCTCGATTAATTCCCATATTATCAACTTTTGATTAAAAACGTTAATTATGTTGGTTCAGTTATCAAATATTAATCACAGAATAGAACTATAACTTCAAATGTGTGGGATAGTTAATCTAGTTAGTTAGTTGGCATAATTCCGGATCCATTGTGGTTTAGTGGTCACCAATACCTGTGTTTTATATATATACATATATCAACCCTTTGGATTCATTGGCAACAAATGTTAAAAAGAAGAAGAAAAAAATCAGAATATATTAGGGAAATGTTTATAGATAATGTTGGTCAAAATATGTAGCTTATAAACGTAGAAAAATTAGGAGAACAGTGTGCAAATTAAAGTAGCAACAAAGAGTGAGTATGGAATGGGAAGGCCAAATGGTTGTCTCTTTGGTGGAGGTGAGGTCATGAGTATGTCCACTAGTGGAAGACAGTCACGTATATTTGTTTTAATAAAATATAGTGATAAACAAATGTAGTTGCTCTAACAATTTCATGCATGCATGGAATGTGTTGTTTGGTTTGATGTCACATTTGTCATTAGTTGAGTTCACTACAAAGTTGTTGGCGATTGGCATTGAGGATAATATTCAAATTGATTTTAAGTCAAAAAAGGTAGTGGACTAATTGATCGTGATTCGTGAGGTTTAGTCTGTCTAATATAACATCATTTATGTCTAATTAAAGTGCAAAAGAGAGTAAAAAAGAAAGAGTGAGGAGAAAGAGGCATGTTAGACAAATGATGAAGGAAGAAACAGCTTTTAGGGGCCTTTATTCCTTTAGTCATGAAGCCCACTTTTACTTTCTCATCATTTGGGCCCCCACCCATTATTTAATTTATTCCTGATCCTGACCCACAATTTTATTTACCAAACTGTTTAATGGTACTAAATCAAGAATCTCACTTTTAAGCAAAATGATTCTGCTGCTAGCTAGCACTGAAATTAGATAACTACATTTTTATTGAATAAGACAATAATACACGAGAAGTTGTTGTCAAAAATCGACCAATTTATTATTTGAATAAAAAGTTTTCTACAGCTTGTTAAATAGTTTGTGGGGAGATTTTAATAAATTCCTTTTTTATTAAGTCTGTATTCAGAACAAACAAAAAAATTTAGTGAGTACTTAAAGAAATCCAAATTTGTAAAACTGTTATGTGCTTGGTCATATATTAAATTTAGTGACAATCGATATATTCTTTGACAAAAATATATGATTTCGACAACAATAAGTTTTTTTTTACATCGAAAATGATAAATGGATAATATACAAAACACAACTAGTACGTATAAATTATATTATTTTTTAACAGTGGCAGGACCTGTCGTCGTGGGGACGGAAACGAATAAGAACACGAAGACGACAATACACGAACCAGACACAGACAGAACAATGTTGTCGATGATGATGAACCATCACGAGTACTGCAAAGACAACAAAGCCTACAAAGTCAACAACATAAATCTAATCACAAGACCTGATCATTACAACATGCATGACCTCATTTCCAAGAGAGCAACGTCAACGGAGACACGTGGCACGGTGCCTATCGTGGTGCGGAAGGTAAGACGGAGCTTGATGGACAGCGTGAACCAGGTTTGCGATGACGTGGCAGCTGGACAACGAAGAGAGGTCGCGAAGATTGGTTTGGCTCTTCATGATCACATCTGTCGGGACTTGATCGCTGAAACCGTTCATGAGCTCTCTTTCTCCTACTGCTACGACGACGACGGAAAGTGTCATCATAAATCGGCAGGAAGTGGACGCCGACACATCCGACGTGGCAGTACCAACTCACTCCCGCTCGACGCGTGTCGAAGAAGATTAGTGTTTTGATGTGATCGACCCTCTTAGGTTCTTTTATTTGTGTGTCAAAGTCACGACAGTTTTCACATATGTCACGTGTTATACTTTTCTTGAACTAATAATAATCTAAGACATGCATTTCAATAGTGTGGAAATGGTTGGGTTTGAGGTTCAGTATGTCGTGAGATTTCACTATTTGCAATAACATGTTACGGTTCTTGCAAACAATTTCACTGGTGTTCTTAGAAAGATAATGAAAACCAACAAAATTTGAAACGAAAGATTCATCTAGATACAATATATAATTGTTTTGCCAACTCATACAGGTAAATCACTATTCTTTATAACTCATAGTATTTTTGTTCTAAATGTAATTAAACCTTTAATAATTATCATACTCTTTTGTTCCATATTAATCATCATTTAATCATATTAGGAAATTGATTAGATGAATCAAACATATGGGTATGTCTTAGAGTGTTTTTTTTTTTTTTTTTTGAAAAAGAGTTCTCTAATTCAAACATTTTACTGGTGACACTAAACAAAAATCAATAGAAATTATTATTTGTTATTTAAAAAGAGAGATGGTATTGGTCATGATACTAATAATTGGACAAAATAAAAAATTAACCAATCATAAATAGACATCTGGAGGTGATGCTGTCGTGAGAGTCAATGCTCCGCGTACAGACCGCGTGAACGTGTGATCCGTTTATTGTCCACTCTGGCGGTTTTGAAGGAAAATAATGATTTATTAATGGTATAAACGTGATTATAGTCAAAATGCGAGGGTGTAAACGAGATTTCAACATCCGGTACTGGTTAATAAAAACGATTCGAGTCCGGGTCGGAGCAAAAGTCGTTAATAACCCGATAAATACGCTTTCTCTCTCGTTTTCTCGCAGACGCTTTTCTAATTTCTCTTCTGCTTCTTCTTCTTCTTCTTCCTCTCGATTTGAGAGAAAACAAAAAAGAACCTACAGGTTAACGAAAAGAAAAGAAAATAAACAATGGCGGATCAGCTCACCGACGATCAGATCTCTGAGTTCAAGGAAGCCTTCAGCTTATTCGACAAGGATGGTGACGGTACGTTTTCTTTTCCTTTTTTGGCCTCCTTACTTCTTCAAATGTTGAATTTGCGTTTGTGAATGCATAGGATTTTGCTACTGTGTTATTATCTGGCTTCTACTCATTAGATCTCGTTGTTACGGATCTGCGAGTCGTCATCTCGAGACTCGTCCTTTAGTTTCTCGTTCGGTTTCTGGATTAAAATCGTGTTGTTGTATTGCAGTTTTTTTTTTTTCGATTTGGTCCTTCAAGATTGCTAATTCTTCATATTTTGTTAGAATTGGCTTTAATTCTCCAACAGAAGTTCGTTTAGATTGGTCCCGTTGTCCTTTTGATTCATATTTAGCTCATGAAAAGCTGTTCAAATGAAAAAGATAGAGAGAAATTATGGATCTAGCTAAGATGCTTCTCTACGGCGACTCTGCTTTGAGTTTCGTAATTGAATATTGGATTGACACTGATGATTCATTTTCAGAAAAATGAAAACTTTTTCCTTTCTCGAAGCAGTGAATGATGAACAAATCTCCTTGATTTACTTGCAGGTTGCATTACCACCAAGGAGCTGGGAACTGTGATGCGTTCTCTTGGACAGAACCCAACAGAAGCAGAGCTCCAAGACATGATCAATGAAGTGGACGCTGATGGTAACGGCACCATCGATTTCCCTGAGTTCTTGAACCTCATGGCTCGTAAGATGAAGGACACCGACTCCGAGGAAGAGCTCAAGGAAGCATTCCGGGTTTTCGACAAGGACCAGAACGGTTTCATCTCAGCCGCTGAGCTCCGCCATGTGATGACAAATCTCGGCGAGAAACTCACAGACGAAGAAGTCGATGAGATGATCAAGGAAGCTGATGTTGATGGTGATGGCCAGATCAACTATGAGGAGTTTGTCAAGGTCATGATGGCTAAGTGATGCCGTTTTGGACCCTAAAAAGGACAAAGTCCCGAACTTGGTTTGCGTCTGTCTCCTTTACTAATACGCTCTTATGTAATTCTTATGACTACTATGTTCTAAAAAATTTATTCATGGGACTCGGGTCTGTTTTCTGGCTGTTTAAGACGCGAATGTTATCCCCTTTTTATGCTCTATTTTGCGTCTGAACATTTCTAGACTTGCTTTTTTTTTTTTTGTGTTTTCTTGCTCTTCTAAGTTGTAACTTTGTCTAGTCTCGTGGTTTCTTATTGATGGTCTCTAGTAAAGCATTGTATCATGGTTAAGTTATATGCAAAATTAGATCCTGTTAACGAGATCTGTATGAGGAGAACCAATTATTTTTTTATTCATCTAGATAACTTCTTTAAACGTAGTTTCGTTGGGCTTTATTGAGTAAATAATACGAACAGCTTTGAGCCCATATAATCTAAGTCTTATGAATCAAATTGAATGAGATTGAGATAATAGAGAAATTAGGTCCAATGACCAAGAAAACCAATCTGTAATTAAGAAACTGACCAAAAAGGAAATTGGTGATAATATTCCAATACCCCTGTATCTTATTGTTTTCAAATGTGACTGAAAATGAAAAAAACTATAGGAAAGAGTTTAATTGCGATAAATACCTTGTAAAAAAAAAAATAATTCTCATCCAAATATCTCATCAAGTGTCATATGAGAGAATTTCTTAGAATTTCCATCTCTTTTTCCACTTCAATAACTCTCAAGGACAAAAATACATTGTTCGTCACATTTTTTACCTTATTTTGTTTGATTATATGTTTTTCCAACAATGTCATGTCAAATCCATATTCTGTGTTTTTAAAGATCATTCTCTTGAGATCAGAGTTGACCTTAAACAGTTCAAAGCTAAAAAAAAATTAACATTGTGCACAAACTTTGAATTTGAAACAACAATAAGAAAACAAAATGACATTATTTACAAATTTTATAATTGAGATTTTGATCTCGTCACATTTTACTAAAATATTTGTTTCAAATATTAACAACCAAGTTATAACCTAATTGTTTATATTTGAATTCAAGAATTTGATGGATATTAATGCACTTATTTTGTATCTATCCAAGTTACGTATAAGAGTCATTTTAACTTGGTCTAATATTGATATCACTCCGTCTAAATTTTTTTAATTGGTGCTGCAAATTCAATCTGCAGAGATTGCAGAGAATGAGTTGGACTAAATCCATTTCTAGTTTTCCAATCAAACTTTAATAACCCAATAATATACATAGTTATGTCTTCCACCAACTCTTAAACTTTTCTCTTCTTAACCTTTCTCACCTTTGACTCCTTCTCCTCCTTTTTCTCCTTTGTCTCCTTCTCTTTCTTTTTCTTCTTTGCCTCCATTTCTTGCAACCTCTTTGACTTTCTTTCCTGATTATATTGTGGCCTCATCCTTATGCTGTTGGCCAGCAAGTATTTTTTGCCAGTGAGTTGTTCCTTTCTGCAATCTCTCCAATCCGTCGCAGTCGACAATATCTCTAGTAGCCAAAAGACAACTTTTTTTTATTTGTGATGTAAGGAGACACTTTTTAATTTTATTTTAAATACTTGAGTAAAAAACTAAAGAAGAAAACAACGCAATAAAGACTCAGAGTCAATAACTTCAAATAATCAATAAACCAAAAAGCCAATTTAAAACTAAATACAAAAAACTAGAACACACGTTAAGATTATAAGCAAAAAGCATTAGAATTACTCTCACACATAGTGAAACGACAGAGACTATATCGAGTCTACAAATCTTAGCAAAACATCAGATAATAAAATCTCCTGAGTCTGTTCCAAATATTAGCAACCAATTAACAAATTGCTATGTTTTTTATAAGTTCATTACTACAACACATGACTATATCACATGACTTGGAAGTTCTAGGCATAGAAGTTAAGTCCTCCACAATATGTTGCTTGTCTTCCCCGTCATATGGTTAAGAGAAGATTTCCGCCGTTTTAAAACAAAGCGCATAATTGAGAAGATAGCTCACAAGTTTCTTATCTCTGGAAATGTAACTAATAAAAACATTGAGCTCGAAAATAACCTTATCACTAGAAAATTAAAATGCAAAGGAAAAGGAAAAATGATAATTAGATACGTAAATTCTTAAGCTGGAGAACTACCAATTTAACGTAGGAGCAAATCTACAAGTATTTCTCCAGATGGCCAGATCCTTCACTATTTATCCTCAGCTACAAATGTACAATTTGATGGAAGATACTCTCGCATCCAGGAAAACAAGAAACTCAAATTTTCATAAATTTAATGGTTCAAACATGATAACCTGAAACGAGCTTACCCGTAAATTAGATCATTAGATGGATCTCTGAGTCTAACCCTCACATAAAAGCGGGTATATGTATGCAACAACTCAAGAATGTTGAAGTATCATAGCACAAAAAAAAAAAAAGAATGTTGAAGTACTTGAAAGAAGGTGCGATAATCCCAAACTTTCGGATGTAATTATTCAGAAAACTACACAAGTGCATGTGAGTGTATGTGGAACCCATGACTTTTGTTATAATCAACAATTTTGGTAAAGAAGGCATGGCAATATCCAAATTCAGCTTAACATCACTGGTTTTTTGCACCCAACGTGAGGTCGGAAAGAACATGGCAATTGCATAAAAGACGACAAAATGAATCATTATTCAAGTTCACCATGCGTGAAACATGCAGAGTTTTGAGGAATGGTAGGCATAACCACGGAAGAAGAAATTAAAAGCTGACGACATCCGTCAAACCCTCGGTTTCAAGGCCACAAGTGTATTGCACCGAGCGAGATATATCAATATACTCCCATTAAAAGGAACTTTGGTTGCCTAATGACCTTGAGGTCGGTAAGAAAATTGCAACAGGCAGGATAAAAGCATTTGAATGGATCCAGAGTCGAATTGGCATTAGAGGTCAATTAAAAAAAAAACTTTTTGTTGATGTGTCGCAAGAAATACATTTTACAACTAAATAAAAAAATTGTTTGATAGAGAACCATTTTAAACGTTATGAAACAAGACAAAACGGTATCCAATATCCATGTCCAATATCCATGAATGATGATGATTGTATTATCAAACGCGTGTAATCGCAATTATCCGCGTATGCGGGACAACCAATGAGACTCTTACAATTTTTTTTTTTGGAAAGATTAAAGAGTATTTAAAAACTCTTACAATTTTTTAATTAAATATATCATTATCCTGGACAATACTAATACATACACATATATATGTATATATATATATATCCTCTCACTCTCTCTTTCTCACTCTCTCTCCAGTCTTATTTATGTATAAATATATTGATCTTTGCTTTTTAGGACAGAACGCACCGAAAGCTCCAAAACCCAACAGAGAAGAAGGCGGCGGAGAAGCAAACAACAACACACATCAACAGAAAAATGCAGCCACAGATTTCAGATCAAATATTATATTCTTTCCTTACCGGAGGATTTTCTGCCTCGTCAAGCACCACAACCACCACAACGTCGCCGTTTTACCCTTTTGCCATCGAAGAAGACACGATTTCTCAAGACAGAGCTCTTGCTGCTCTGAGGAACCATAAAGAAGCCGAGCGAAGGAGAAGGGAGAGAATCAATTCCCATCTCAATAATCTCCGGAACTTACTCTCTTGTAAATCCAAGGTACGATAACTTTCCAAAGGATCCTTTCCATAGTACTCTCTTATTATTTGCTTACTGAAAGTTTGATTGAGACTATAATCTACTACTTCAGTCTTCAAGTGGAATCCCATAAAAGCATATAAACAATGAACAAATATGATTATTTGAAGTTAATATGGACACTTTTAACCTTTTTACTCATGCTAGACATTGTTTAAGAGAAGAATTTGGAAGGAGGATTCGAGTTTTATTTGGATGTTATCTCACCAAAGTATTTTTTTTGGTTTTATTTAAATGAATTAATCCTATATCCAAATGACAAATTAAAATGTTTTTTTTTAAATTTGGTTAAATTATCAGTACTGCCTAGTGCCTAGTTTCTTCGGATTTGATTTATTGGTAGGAAAAATGGAACATTGAAATTGTATCACTTATAGAAAAAGGGACCATTTTTTAGATTAACATAAGTCCAATGTAATGTTTTCGAATAATAAAAAAGCTGCAAGTACTGGGGGAATATCTAGAAAATTGAGGAAAAATAAAAAAAGCTTTCATGTCCTTTTTTTTCTCTGAAGCTGGTTAATCACTTTGTCGGAAAAGTTCTCGAGCTTTTATTTTCCTTTGAAAACAATTTGAACATAAAGACAAAATTTCTCGAATCAAGGGTTATCTTTCCTTAAATTTTTTTCTTTTTTTCAACAGACAGACAAAGCCACACTTCTTGCAAAAGTGGTTCAACGAGTCAAAGAGCTAAAACAACAAACCCTAGAAATCTCTAACGAAACCTTACCGTCGGAGACAGACGAAATCAACGTTGAAGATTGTTCCAACGACGACGGTCGGATAATCTTTAAGATATCGTTTTGCTGCGAGGACAGGCCAGAGCTCTTGCAAGATGTAGTGAAGATACTCAAATCTCTTCAGATGGAAACAGTCTATGCCGAGATAACGACAATCGGTGGTCGGACAAGAAACGATCTCGTTGTGGTCGCCGACATAGAGCAACACGGTGTCGAGTCGGTGAAATATCTACAAAACGCACTCAAGTCTTTGCTCGAACGGTCAAGCCAGTCGGTGGTGATGCGACGTGGTGGTGGTGGGGTAGAGAGGTCAAAACGACGTCGTGGGGTTGATCACATCATAATGGTGTGATTTTGATGAGACTTGAGCACTATATGTTATAGTTAATTTAAAAATTAATATAGGGTTGAATTTTTATCATATATGGTTAATGTCGTTATTATTACCAGAGTCCTTTTGTGTTTATTTTTTCCAGCATTATAAAAAGAAGACGACTTTATATGGTTTTATTGAGTTTGTGTTATGAGTGGAAACATTCGTTGTAAGTAGGGCTGGTGTGTTCTGTCTCTATTCTTTCGTAAGAAAAAATAAAATATATACAGAGACATTTAGTATACAACTTTAATTTCGATTTTCAGGTGTAATGTAGTTGATGACGAAGGTTTAAATTAATTAGATTGTGGGAATATTTGTTGACGCAGAAGAATCTAAGAAAGAGGTGTGATTGGCAGAAGACTGTGAAGTACATGCAGAGAAACAAAGACTTCTTTTTCTTGTGTGTACAAAAACAAGACTTCTTTTTCTTGTGTGTACAAAAACAAGACTTTTAAAACATTATATATTAAATAATATTTATCATATATATGCGTAATATAGAAAATCAATTAGAAGCATGAAATGGTGTATATAAAGTGAAGGTACGATGTAAGACAGTGAAGAGAAGGTGTTTGTAGAATCTTAATGAAAGAATATATGGAGAAGTGTTTGAGTTTCAAAGCTACCTCGTGTCATCTTGTCCCCCCAAAGATCTCTTCCTTTTGTTCGTATCTTTCTAAATATTTTTGTACCTTCTTTTTTTTTTTCTTCTTTTCTTGTTGTCTTCTTCTTTGAGGAAAATTCAAATGAAACTTATTGACTGTATTGTTTTGAACAAACAAAACAGAAGTTATGGACTATATTGTCTGTATATGTTTGACCGCTCTTTTCTTCAATACTATTTAGTATTTTATACTTCAATTTTTTTAGCACATGGAAAAAGCAGGCGTATATATATATATATATAACGAAGTAGGCATGAAGAAACTAGAGAATCTTTTTTTTGCCACATGTGAACCTATTTCTGTCAATGCTGGGACTTTACATGAATATATTGTTCTCCAGTTTGATATTAAGAATATCTTGGATTAGAATAAAAAAGTATTTACAACATGTTTCAATAAACGATAATTTGTTGTCATTGTAAAAATAGAAAAATAGAATGTAAATGACTAACTTATAATCTTATTGTATTTCTTGCTTTTTCTTTTCCATCACTTTTTATCAAATTATCTCTGAGATTAACCCATTGGAAAAAATACATCACTTTATAATTTGTTTTAATATGAAGGAGGCGGATAGAGAGAGAAAATGGGAATGAAAAGGCGTGAAAAAAGAGAACTGACAAAAAGAAAGAACTGATGGGCCATTCTTCGATGCGACAATAAGCATTTCTATTTTTTCTTACAAATACAGTATTACTGGCTGCATTCTCTTTCTTAATTGATATATATATATATATATATGTTAATAATGTATGGGTGCATTTCTGAACTTTTATCTGATTAGTTTATTTATCCTGTTACCATACTGCTTTAGCTTTTTCTATGCTGACGTCGGATCATTTTGAAGTTTTATCCCCTTTTTAATTTATAATCAAATGCCTTTTTAAGATTATTAATTGTGAATTACTCTATCACTGAATTAGGCAGGATTAGAATGCATATGCTTCATATATAAATAGACAGATAATTGTAAATTTGAGTTCTTATATAACATTGCTGTCCTTTTTTATTGTACGAGAGAAAAATAGAATATCTGGTCCCATTAAAGCTTGATTGGGACCAAATGGTAGGTTTTTGGATGTAGCCAAATGAAAATCCATGAAATTTGTAACAGCGACAAATGAAAAAGACCAACAAATAATTAGGTTTTGGCCAGAAAAAAAATACTATAATTATAATATTTCGTGTGTGCAGATCAATATGGTGCATATAATCATTCATGTATTTAATTTGGATGCTTGAAAATTTTCCCAAAATCTTACATGAATGTGTCAGATTGTGTGAAAAAAATGCAATTGGAGAGACTAATAAAGAGTATAACAGATTGAAAGAACACACAAAAGAGTAAAGCAATTTTTTAATTTTTTTTTTTTAAAGATATGCAGAAAGTATATGTCTAAGAAGCGTGATGGCTCTCGACCAAAAAGCATGCATATACTTCAAAAAACGATTTTTAAAATCTTAATTATTAAAGTTCCGTTAAAAATAAAACTATAGCAAAATACCATTTGAATTTGTATATGCTTTTGGAGTTTGTGGGTTTATGGCAAAAGCAATCATTGACAACAACTCTGTTAATAAAAAGAAAGAAACAAGAAAAAACACAATTTCATGAGTCAGTCATGACTCTCTTAATGTGGCTAGAGTTTGGGCTTATGTTGCGTGTTGAATTATATGGGCTAGTAATTTAGTTTGGAGATAAGAATTGTGAAACACATAGACGGTATGATGATACCATGACATTACTCGAACTTAGTTAGATTCATCGCCTCGTAGGAAGGCCCAGCAAGGTGAAAGACGAAATTACTTCCTTTCCTTAAATGGTCCAGGCTAACCATTTAGCTCTCATTCACTAAGTAAGCCAAAAAAATTATTTTCAAATATGGGTTCTATTTATATTTTGTCTGGAGATTCTTTTAGGCTTTAATCGTCCATATGTACATATTTTACCTTTGTTACTAAGGCCTAAATATTTCAAGTAACTTAGCGCTTGTGACTAAGGCCTATGTAATATAAGCAAATCGGCCCATTAAGTCATAAGAGTTACTTCATATATTCATGCATGTCAAGTAATGTATGTGTCTAAGCACGACCGAAATCTGCTGAAAACAGAGATATGTTTTTTTTTTTTAGATTGATGTTTTCTGCATGTAGTTTGGGTTTTTTAGGAATCTACAGGCTTATATAAAGAAGTGGATGAGATGAAGGTATCAAATTCTTTGCTTTTCTTGCTTTTTCCTCCCAATTCCTTCAGTAATTTGGAAATTTTGTTATTTATATAGATTCTCACTCAAAAAGCCAAACGGCAATAATGTTTGATGTGTGTCTATTTATTTTTTTTCTGTTTGACGTACATATGATTATTTGGGTAAACATTGATTACTTTACTTGATTAGTAATATGGTAATATGCCGGGGGGAAAACAATGAATAGTGCTTATATTTTTTTTTTGATATATAAATACAGACAAAGCCATCTAATAAACACGGATAAACATTAATTAGCATATATGCTTCAAATTCAAAAAGTTACGACGTTTTTGATTAATAAGCAATAAGATGTTTTGGATGTGTTCAGACAGTTACGATTATTTTATCTATAGCCTTTTAATTCATGTGATAAGAATCAATCAGAATGATTACTCATTATTAGATTGGAAATGTAGTTTTTTCCTTGTCGTCAAGGAATATTTTGTAGTTTATAAAAGAAAAAAAAGCAAAGAGTCTGTGACAAGATTATTCCGTTATAATATTATATTATTGTGATTGTATAACACAAGTTTGACCCAAAAAAGAAAAAAAAGAAGAAGTGATTGTATAGCTGACAGAAAAGAAAACAAACAAAAAAAGAAGAAAAAAGGAAAAAGAATCTGAAGATCCAATCATATACAAGTCTAGTATATTTATTCGTCTGATTATGCCTCTGTAATGGTATGCGTCTCCAGGGTGAGTTTTCTTCACGATCAGGAAAATTTAATTCGTTGCTATTAAAATACATATGGGGAATGAGCAAGCTAGCATCACAATTTAGAAATTGTCCTTTTTCTGTCAATAGATGAGATTTAAAAACTGAAAATCTATGGAGTAAGTTATTTAATATATATATATATATATATATATATATATATATTAATGATCTAAATACCAGTTATTTAAGTTTACATCAATACTAAGTTTTTACATCTCTAACCTCACTCAAAATCTCACTCTAAAATAGACTTAAAAGCTATTTTTTCTCCAGCTTCACTATTCCACTCCAAACTGGAGTAATCAATACTGAATAGGGTTAATCTAGATTTACTCCATTTTTTGTTCATCACTCCATTTTAGAGTAAAACTGAAATAAAACCAACTCCATTTCAGAGCTATTCTAAAATAAAGTAAAAATAAAGCTATACATTGAAATTGTGATTGATTATTCGTTTCCTAATAGTAATATAGAAATTATTAGAAACTGTTCATTAATGGATATGTCTAAATGTGTAACCAATTAAATTATTTTGGCAAGGAATTTTTTCTAATGAGCACTCATTAGTCGGAGAAGGAAGAGGAATGTACTATCTCCAACGTGCATGTGCTTCAATCCATCTTCTTCTCGTACTTTTTCGGATCTTTTATTATTCGTCATACCAACTATGGTTTTTTCTTCATACCAAAAAAAAACTATGGTTTATTCTTCTTCTTATTTACGTTTATTTAAATTAATTCAATGACTACTACGTTTGTTTAATTAAATACGCATTGGTTGATATTTCAAGTTTCACCCAAAGTAACTCGCGTAATGCAATGTCCCTACTTACCATCATCTCATTGTAAACATATTACATACATTATACATATACAAAGACAAATATAAGAACATACTAGCTCTCTGAAGAAAGAAAGCTAAAAAATATTTTTAAAACTAGTCAATCTTCTACAAGACACTGCATTAAAAGGACAATGTATAGAATATGGTTTTATTATGAAATAATGATTTTCGCACCCTACATAATACAAAACCTATTATTTAACAAAAATAAAGTAATACAAAACCTACTTAAATTATCTACATACGTTCATAGTAATATCAACACAATCTAATAAAGATAAAGTTTTGTACGAGTGTGTTCATGATTACACAAAACCATTTTAAAAAAACCCACTTTCATACGTATATAAGATTATCCGAAGCATAAACTGACAAAACATAAAGGTTCAATCCCCAAAATTATTTTTAAGAGTTTGGTTATCCATATAAGAATGGCAAAATAAAATGATAGAAAGAGATGGATCAATTAACAATTAAGTAAGAGAACGAGGGGCAGAACAC